TTGTCCGCCCCACTACGGCCAAATTTTGGCCAATTTCGCATCGGCCAAATATCGAACATCATACTTGTGTTTGTCACTTTAATGCTTTTTTCCGACACCGTATTGAACTTTTTTCGATCAAGGAGAATATAATCATAGGTTGGTTAGAGAATGGTGAATCTAAAGAGTCAGAGTTGTATTGGTGTAATATGGCTGTGAGAGAATGATGGAATTGCAGAGAGCAATCGATTATGTTGAATGATGTGCTATATTTCAAACCAGGAAAAGACAGAAGATAGATATTTGTGCTTAGCTGTACCAAAAAATTTGGTCAATGAAGTTTTATTTTTCTGTCATGATTCAAAAACTGCTGGTCATTTTGCTTACGAGAAAGCTTTGCAAAAACTCAAACAATCCTCCCATGGCATGTAATGAGTACAGATTGTAAAATGTATGCAAATTCATATGAAGTTTTCAATAAAAACAAGCATAGCACTGCTCGACCAAAAGCCAAAACGAAATTACATCATGCGGGATTTCCCGTTGAAAAGGTTCATTTAGATATACTTGGACCTTTTACACAAATTGAATTTGGGAATTCTTATGTTTTGGTTACAATAGACCAGTTTACTAAGTGGATAGAATGTGTGGCTTTGCCAAATCACACAGCTAGGTTAGTAGCAAAGGCATTTTTTTTGCTACTTATTGTCTTATAAGTCTTGTTTTAAAGCTTTGGTCTTTTAGTTTATATTTTTTAGTTACTTTTAAATACCTGTATGGTTTTGTTTATGATAAATTGTAAAACTTCAACTTTTGGGTTGCGATTCTAGCAAATAAATTATTATTATTGTTAAACTTTTTATCTTTATTTCCAGCAAGTGAATTCTGGAGATGCAATGCCAGGAAGATTTACATTTTGTCAAAGAGCGATGTCCTGGAGTTAAACCCAGCCTGCTGTTAACTTTACTCATTTGTAAATATGTGGTATTTCAGCATATTTGATATGATTGCATCTTCTTTAATTACATTCTGCATATATTTATCTTGTTTAAAATAAAATCAACAACAACAGGCGCACAATAGAAAATGAAAAAAAAAAAAACTTCAATATCAGTACAAAACTGAAAGATTTTAATAAGAACACAAAAACGCATAGAAATCTAAGAAAAAAAGTGGTAAGATTGTTTTTAAGCAAAACGCACATCTGACAGAGAATCTCATTAAATATTCCTTAAATACTGTTAATTTTAGGCACTCTACAGCTGCATTTGACAGGTTTGATGAGATAGATCCTGTGAGAAAGCTAAAGAACATAGGGACATTAATTGAGGAACTGACAGTAAAGAGAAGACAAATTCTAGTGTTGTCTCCAATGCAAATTGACAACTTTAGGGACATTTTCGGGTGTAGCATATGTATGGATAAAGTCATATTTTGGCAACACAATCAAATATTCGTGGGACATAGGTACATAAAGGCACAGAAATATAAGAGGAAAAAAATTAAATGTATTCATAAGGGGTCCAACTGCTTGATGTTTCTTCCCTCAGCATTAGTAAGCAAACACAGAGTGGACTAGAGAGAAACTTGTTCCTACAGCTCCACCACCTCTGACCTTATACACTGTTGAATGTTATCAGGAATATAGAACTTGCCGATTAGGTGACAAACAACAAGACTGATATTCAGAGGTTAGAGAGATGTTTATTGCAGCTAACACAGTTCTCCTTTAAGCGTCCCTCTTTTCACTGTTATTATTCCTCAGCCGATGCGTCCAGAGATGCTGAAGAAAGCACATTCCGCTCATCAAGGAATACAAGCCACATAGCGTTTGTGTCGAGATGTGATTTACTGGCCATACATGGCTGCAGATGTGACTGAAATGATTAAACAATGCGATACATGTTGCTGAATTGCCTGCAAATTTGAGTTCACAAATGTTACTAGTTCACCACATTATGCTCAGAGCAATTGTAGAGTGGAATCTGCTGTAAAAGTTGCAAAGCAGATGATAGGAAAAGCAGTTGATGAGAAACAAGATGTTTACTTAATGTTGTTAGAGCGAAGAAATACGCCTGCAGAAGGCATGGATTCTAGTCCAGTGCAATGTTTAATGTCATGTCGCACTAGGAGCAGCCTCCCTGCTCAAAGTCAAGGCTATAAGCCAAAAGTAGTAGAGTCGGTTTCTAGCAATCTTACAGTTAGAAAGCAAAGAAAAAAGCATTATTATGACAAGCACGTTAAATCTTTACCACAATTACAGGTAGGGCAAGCACAATAAAGAACAAAAAATGAAAGGCAAGAATAATAAAGTAGTGCCTGGTGCGTTGTTTCAGACCCTTCATTATGGCTCCTTGTCTTATTTATTCAGTGTTCTTAGTCTATTTAAATGTAAAGCAGTATATGATCAAGTATCACCTGGATTTACAATGGGTTGTTACTGGAAATTCTAGCTGACTAACTAATGGTAGAGGGTATCAAAAGTAAACATCATTTCATTATATATTTATTTAACACCAATCATAAATTTTTAGGTAATGATATATGAGGTCTTAAAATGGTACATAACAGTTTTATAAACTTTAAGACCAACTGGTACAAAACTAAATATGTTTCATTGTCTAAAATATGATTCAAATTTATTCATTTTTATGAAAAGTTTCTTAATAGTACAGGAGTTATTGTTCAACACATTTCATTATAAGATCATCTCAAAAGAAATTCGGGGGTTTTGGTCTGTTAATCAAGCTTAATTTAGTGTTTATTTTGACTATTTTAAAAATACTTCTACTATAAGTTCAAATACCAGTATGAAAATTATTTGGCTTATAATTTCAGTGACTATTAGGTGGAAAAAAATTTGGTGTATGGATGTATATGTTAAATTTGTTTTATTTCTTTTTTTTATTTATTTCTTTAAGCAAGAGAAGAGATCATTCTGATTGTTTGTGTTCATATTTTGTATTATTATGTCTGATGCCTCTTAATGGTGAGTTATTCAAAAGTGAGTTTATGTATTTATAGTAATCTTTAAAATAGTTGTGATTTTTTTGAAAGAAATTGGACAATAAAGGTTTACTTTGAGTTTTTGAGGTGTTACGTAGATTTTATTTTAAATATATTTGTGAAATATTTTAGTGTTGAGTTATAATTTCTTTACTTTTGGGATGTTTGTGAGCAATGGGAAACTGAGTGAGAAAAACAAGGTGTTGGTACTGTAGTTCATTAGAAAATAGGCAAAGTTTCAGAGAAAATTCATTTTTACGCTATATAAGCGTCTACATTGGTAAGACACACTTTAAGAACACTTTTGTCATTGTACTGTACTTTCCTTCCGGTTTTGGACCTAAAAAATCCCAGGGTTCAATTATTCACCTTCTATGAAATAAAACCAAGAAACGAAATTACTTTTTTTTTAAACTCGTGGTCGGTGAGGTGACGACGCACTTGTGTTGATTACACGACACCTTCTATATTTTGGTTATTAAATAAATTTGATTAAGCAATACCAAATGGAAAGAACGATAATGAAAGAAAAAGGAACAAGGGATTGAAACTTCAATCTTAAAAACATAAAATGTCTTTATTGAATACAGACCTTTGATCTGATCCACGGTCTGTAGACACAAAGGCGTAAAACTTCAATTCTGATCACAAATGTAACAATTTAAACAACTTTCATAAAATGTTTTAATTTTTGGCAGCGTGACAGCATTTGTCTCATAATTAATTCCGAGGCAAAAAGCATCCCTTTTTATTTAAAAACCTTTACGCAATAACAAATAAACCAGGGTCATTATATTAAAACTGAATTTAATGAAATTTTAAGTCAATCAAAATTTATTACAATGCATGCTGGTGTATGAATTTCTAATGTATAAATAGGGAACCTTGTGGTAGATTCACACATTTTGTGCGTTCACAACCATGGATGAACCACGCTTAGCACTGGGCCTAAGACGGGGCATGTGCTTATTGTCCAAGGGTATTGATACCAAAAACAGAGAGAGTGTCATGGCGAATTTGTTTGGCAATGTTGGAGGAGGGACTGTCGCACCAAGTTAAGGACAAATGCAATCAACGAGTAAGATCAAATTCGGGTGGCAAATATGAATGATATGCAACATAACCACCCTGAAGACAATGAAATGACAAGCCACATTAATGTAAGATGGGCGATGCACGCAGCTGCAACCCGGGACCCCATGCATCGGCAAGGTGGAGGGGACTGTCTGCCTGTGCCATCACTGGCGTCCGTCAGAACCTGCACAGAAAGGGTACGCCAGCATGCATTACCCACAGGGGATAAATGATGTGAGGATTGACAACCAGTGGGTTCAGACCTGGAACCGTGAGAAATTTGTGCTCCACCTGGACAACCAGTGGGGAGTTTGTGTTTGTGACGGCAGAAAATCTGAACATTTTGTGGCATTGCCAAACAGAGTATATAGATGGGACTTTTCGTGTATGCCTGAGGCCCTATACGCAATTGCTGGTTATTGTTGGCAATTCTGTACCAGAGGCGGACCCCTTAACTTCTAGAAATAAGTTTTCCACTTTCATTAGATTCACTGAATTTTTTATCTGAAATTAACCATGGCTGTTCTCGTCATAGGTCACTCCTTTACTCACAGGCTTCGCTCATATCTTGACCAAGGACGGGACGATCGTACGGCGAAAGACTTCGGTTTCCCATTTCCACACACTGGCATGGGAAAGGTGGCCGTACAGTCCCTAAACTGGACAGTTAGGACTTGGGTATGACTTGGGTATCCTTCACCATGTCCACCCAGAGTTGGTCATACTAGTTATTGGGTCGAATGACCTCTCTGATCGGAATATTTCCCCCTTTGGTCTAAGTAAGGACATCGAGGATCCCATCCCGCTTTTAATGACCAGGTTGACAAACTTAACATTTTCCTTTCAGATCTGCCCCTTACACATTCATTTATTTCGTTTTAGAAAAACATGGGTTTGCAGAATCCTACTCTACTGCACATCAAACAGGATGGGTTGCACCTTTCAGATGTCGGGCAATACAAATTATACCGCAGTTTGAGTGGCACCATTATCAGGAAGGCTTCCTATGCACATTACCTATGCTATTAAGAAGTTGACAAATACTCAGGGTGTTTCTGGCCCACTGTCCAGGGCATCGATTGCTAGAAAAACAGAAGACATGCCTTTAGATGAGATTGCAGAGGAGGTGAAACGTATAACAGGGGAAGACATGGACAATATTTTTATGATGGCAGGAAGCTGAAGTTGCAAGAGTCTTAAGAGAGAAGTCACTGTACGTAGAGAACAGACATTTGCTCACTGATTACCTAAGATACCTGAATAGCCATCTGCATGGTGTGGTTACAAGTAGTAGAAATACTAAGCTTATTAGAGCATTCCACAACATGAGGTCAGAAGTAAATGGCAAAAAGAACTTTACCTCTTTTTGTTCTGAAATCAGTGCTACCAGTGTAAAGGACCCTTTGCTGTACCAAAGATTTTTGGATGTTGCATTGGAGAAAAATGTAATAGCTTAACAAAGGGTAGAAAAACCATTGACTGATGTGGTAAGAGAGAATCCTACTTCACTAAAAGTGAGGAGGAGGAAGAGACTCTTAGATATGTTTGTGGTTACATACCTTTCAATCTGTACAAGAGATTTTCGAAGGGATCATCAGCATTACACAGAGATTGTACAATGATTATTCATTCTTAGAAAGCATCTTCTAAGTCACAAAGTGATGGGTAGCTACAATAAATAGAGGGTGGTTGTTTGTAGTTCATGATATTGTGTTTCAGTTTTTTAAAGAGGTGGAAAATGCTGTACAGAGTTTTTTAAAATAAAGACTTGTTATTATGTTGTGAGGGAGAGGACATTGCATCCCTAATTTACCAAAAATTATTGCAAAATGCAACGGTACAGAAGTTCTGGTGTTCTTTGACCTCAAATTAGGAAAGTGACACTACTGGCTACTACTTATATAATCTGTTATAAAGAAGAATGTTGTACTCGGGGGCAACGCCTTGGGCAGAGCATGGAAGAAGCAAGTGCAGCTGATGAACCCGAAACCGATGTCCAGAAAAGGAGAAAAGACTTAAAGAAAATTATTACATGTTCAGACTCATGGCATCTCATAGACAGACTTTGTTACTTTTTATATGCTCATAATCACCGATTAGTTGGATTACTTTCTTTACTTTACGACACCAGTTTCTTACTCATGCCATTATATCAAAATGTGTTTACCAATTACTAAAACAGTAATGCAGGGTCCTGGGCATTTTTCAATGCATGATATTTGTACCCCAAAGAGAAACCATCTAGTTGTTACTTGTACAAATATCATAAAACATCTTGACATTTAAAAAATGTTTCCCTTTATTCAATTGAATTCTGTTGTGATATAAACATTTAGTTAAAGACCTCTGGCAAATTTACCTCTGGCATTTAGTTAAAGACCTCTTGCAAATTCTTGATATTTAAATTCAACATTATTTAGATAAGATTGACATCTGAAGCTAAAAAAAGACTTAGTTGCATGGGCATTATTTCTTGAACATTTCAATGGCAAGTCATTGTTGACTGAAAAACATTAGGAGATTAATTTCGCATGTAAGATACCATGCCAAGCTCTCCCTCTTGCCTAACCTTTTGTCACAAAAATAAATATTCTTATACAAAATTAAACTAACCCACCCCTTATCACAAAAAAGAATCTATTAAACTAATTAAAACTTTTTGATGCTTGCAGGGGGCACCTTCATCCAAGCTACTCCGCTTGTTATTCCAGTGACTTCATTTTCTGGAAGTTGTGACAATAAGATTTGCAGTTTTTCTATATTAACACAATTACATAACCAATGTAAATTAAATATAATGTGCTTCAGGGAATTTTTTTTAGCATTTTGTGACACAGATTTATAGCAGCACTACCCTTTCTTTGACCCCCTGTAAATTTTTCCTTGTGGTAGTGCTCCTGTCTTGAAGCGGGTGCAAAAGGGGGAAAAGTCTTGTTTGTGGACGGTTTCGGGTACCAGAAACATAAGACGAGTGGTGGGAACATTTTGTGGCGGTGCTGGAGACCAACATGCAGAGCCAGAATCTGGACCAATGTTTCTGATGATCCCAAAGATATCCTCATGGTAAACCCAAATGAACCAGTACATAACCATCCAGATGACTCCTTGACCACACAAGTCATCAATGTCCACAGACAGATGCAGGAGGCAAGTGTGTAAGACAGTGCATATGAGGAGAATATACCCATCTGTGGTGGCAAGGACCCAGTGCCAGTGTGTTTGGGATGTGCTACAATTTAGATCAGTAAAATCATTCATTGAGCACATAAGGCAGGGTGCACTGCCATCTTTACCTCAGTTTATCAATGAGGTGGATGTCAATGGGCAGTGGGCCCAAGTTCATTGGGCAGAAATAGTATACCTTATCAGGAGCTAATGTAGATAAATATTTCAATTATTTGACAGAATGTCTGAAGGAAATCGGAAAAAAGTCTGTGCTCAGTGACAGGACATTACATCGACATGCTGAGATACCTGCCCAGCAAATTCTTTCTTGTCTTCATGATGAATCATCCAGTGATGATAACACCGACATCATGCCAGTAGAGCAACTCATTGAACATGAGAATATATTGTCAACAGCAGATCATGGTATAGGATTCAGCCAAGATGTTTTTTTATGAAGAATCTGTTTTTTTCACATGGCAGTGCTCAGGGAAATATGGATATCATGACCAGTGACACTTCAGATGGTGAAGAAGATGGAGATTTTACTAAGAAACTGAGGGACTGGGTGCAGAACAGATTATTTATAATGTTAATTCACTGACACATTTGGCTTCACATTCTCAAATGTATGGAATTTAACATAATTTTTTCAAGTTTCCCTTTTGAAACTATCTACAGACTATTAAGCAACTTGTTCAAAAACCAAAATTGCCACTCCAACAAGTGATATGTCTTGCAGAAAGGGAACATGTAAAAAAAATTAAATTTTCGCAGACATTTTGTAAAAAAGAACATCACAGAGGAGCAGTCCCAGAAGAATATCATCAATGCAAATAATACAAAGATCTTCATATGGAAAAAATTCTATCAGTAAAGCAACAGGATAACGCTATTTATGTTGGACAAACACCTCTTATAAAAAAATAAGATCACTTTTAATCGAGAACAGAGACTGATATGTCAACCATTTATGACCAAAGAAAATTTTATGTATCCAGTGGAATCAAGTAGACTTCACATATGGTCTGTGAATGATCCAAGTGACCAATTAGTGAGTCCAGAAAAGAAAATCAAATTAAGTTCTATTACCATTTAAAAAAAAAATTATTACTCTACAGCCTTCTGTGATACACTGGCAATAAAAACGATTAACTTATATAACATTTGTATCATCACAGGGAATACATGTTACACTCACAGTTCAGCGTCGTCTATTTCCCCGGAAGAAAATTCAGTTGCAGTGGCCCCTGAAGGATGGGTCAAAGGTGACAAGTGCCTTTGGCTCCCCAAGTCAGTGATGAGAGGAGGAAGAGTGATAGAAGAGTGCATTCAACCAGATTCTGATTGGGATGTGCAAGACTGCCAAGTGTTGGAGTCAACTGGTAAGTGTGTGGAACCAACTAAATAAACATTATCAATATATTTGGAATATAAGAAATGAAAATTTGTGCAACATTTGGCCTGTGGCAAATTCTACAGCAAATGTTAACTAGGCTTATTTTTAGGTGACTACATAAAGGCAATGGAAAAGTGCACAAAAGTTGTAAAATCACTGAACAAAAATGTTTTTGATATTGACCTGAATACAACAGACACTGAAGCTAAGAGGAGATGAGGAACATTATATCATCTTATTACCTGTAAATTGTGTTAACTTTCTGACATACCTCATTCATCATTAAGTGCCTTATATTAATTGCAATTGTCTTACTCAATGCATGTTCATCAAAATATAAAATTTCCATTTTCCATATCTTTGTTTATGATCATAGTTGCATCACTGACACTCTGAATTTATAATCATAATTATTATAGTAATATATCCATTGTATAAAATGCTCTTTTGCAAAAAAGGAGACACCTGCCACCCAGACTAGCAGAAGAGGAAAATTGGAACCTGTGGTACAGACAAAGTCAAACGTTGTTTTATGACGACGGTCTATAACCTAATTCTGATGGGATTCACTGCTATGTATTTTGGCCATGACTGTACAAACCACAGATTCAATGCCACATATAAACTCACATGAAGCAGCGGATTCACAGTAACTAGGTCAAGACATCTAGTCCAATCAGGATAAACTAAGTCTCGCATTTCCACAAGGTATGCACCACCGCGTCTAAGGAAGTGAGTGATAGTAATCTTCCTCACTCTGCTCTCATGCACAATAGTCGCTAGTGAACGAACAACGAATTACATTACATTAGATTACGACACTGTACAATTTTTGATTGCCGGATCCTTACACTCGAAGATACTCAGTTCCAGAAGTAGACCTCCTAGCTAACAAGTAATTTTTTTCTTTTTCAACCTATTTGTGAGCTTTCTAACTTACGTTCACCATGACAGTTCTAGTCATTGGACATTCCTTTGTTCACAGGCTTCATTCATTTCTCGACCAAGGTTGGGACGTTCAAACAGTGAAAGATTTTGGATTCCCCAATTCCGTGCACTGGCATGGGATAGGCGGCTAGACGGTCCCTAAAACTAGTCATGTACAATTTGGGGATCCTTCGCTGGGTCTGCCCGGACTTGGTTGTACTTATTATTGGGTCCAACGAACTTTTTGACCATAATATTTCCCCCTCTAACCTATGTAAGGAAATAGAAGATTTAGGCTGTCATTTTAATGACGAATTCGGCATTTCACGTGGTGGTGAGTTAAGTTCACCACAAACTGCGTCCTCCCCATCCTTCTTTTAACGATCAAGTTGACCAGCTCAACATTTTTCTTGCATATAAGGCCTTAAAAAACCTATTCATTTCCTTTTGGAAGAAAATAGGTCTGCAGAAAATGACCCGGCTCCACATCAAACTAGACGGTGTGCATCTTTCGGATGTGGGGCAGTAAAAACTATATCGTAGTTTGTGGGGTGCCATTATCAGGAAGGCCTTCCGGCTTGGCATTAAGCTATCTTAATCTCTTCCAGATGACCAGAAGTTATCTCTAATCAGGAAGATTGTTGTTAAAGGGCAATTTCTTTCTATTAAATTGCAGTAGACTGTTTCATTTGACGTAGGTCCATCACCTGACAACTCTGGGAGGGACAGGACAAGAAAACAATTAACAGGATGATGGAAGCTCTGATGTAATCACCTATGGCTACACAATTCAACTGGAAAGGTCGTGCAAGAGGATATGGCAACAAGGAAAAACACGGTTTGTGCAAAACCAATATTGCAAGAGTCATGATTGGTAAGTAAATGTCTGCTGCCAAGTCAAAATTATGTTTCATAATATAATATTTTTCCCACTCTATCACCTCTGAAGCCTTAATTTGATTGTAATATCTCTGAAATATATTAAAAAATGTTATAACTGAACATTGTAGACAATATTGTAGACAATATTAAAAAATGTTATAACTGAACATTGTAGACAATATGGGGGCAGCTGGATGTACAACAGCTCACTGGGTCCAAGACTTACAGAAAAACAAGTACAAAATGTTTGCAGGGCAAGTGAAAATGGATCCATACTTGCCCACCAGGGAAGTGAATCTAAAATTGAATTTTGAGGCCTGAAAACAGGTAACTAACAAAGTTATGCTGCATGCAGGGTTCTGCCAAGGGCGCGACATTGTCGCCCAAAAACTGAAAATGTCGCCAAAAAATTCCTAGAGATGCGCCGTCAGGCACACTCGTAAAAGGGAACTGAATTTTTCTATAACTGGCGGGTGCGTAATAAGAGCAATTTGATTGGCTGAGTGCTGGGTGCCGGATCCAATCAGATTTCCGCTTACTGTTTTATCTTATAATCATGGCTGGATGTAATCGCAAACAAAAATCCAAAACTATTAAGTTTTTTTTCCCCCCAAGTTCCTCAGCAAAAGTGTCCAAGAAGTTCAGCGAGAATGTATCATCTGAAGATTCAGGAATGCCCTCGCCATCAACATCAGGCAGTGACGCTGAAGTGCCTGAAACTGTCGAGTCCCCACCCACACCACGTGAGAATAGTGAGTCCGACACTGACAAAGAAACTGTTTCGAAATCAAAATCAACTGCTAAAGCCCCGAATCAGTTGTCAGATCGACATTTCCAAGACAGTTGGTTGTTAGAATTTCGCTGGTTAGTGTACGATAAGGAGTCTGATTTCATGAGTTGTAGGTTATGTATCAAACGTTCAAAGAAAAACAACATGACCACGGGTAAGTGTAGAAATTGAAAGAAAACTACTTTGTACAGACATGCAAAAATATCTGATCACAAAGAGTCTGTTGTTGCCGAGTCAATGGCTGGTGCCTTGGTAAAAAACATTTCAAATATCTGGAGTTAAAAGGAAGCTGCTATTATCTATGCACTAAAAGCTGCATTTTGGCTAGCTAAGGAAGATCTTGCCGTCAGTAAGTTTGAGAGCCTTGTTAACTTTTTAATGGACATGAAGTGCCCTGACATTGAGAATCTGAAATGTAGAGAAAATGTTTCATACACATCAGACAAAGCTGCTGAAGAATTTCTTCATTCCCTTGCCCATACTGCATGCCTGAATGTGAATAAATTGATCAGTAAGTCCCCCTATGTTAGTTACTGTGTGATGAAACTACAGATGTGGCTGTTAACAAGAAATTGAGTGTGTACTGCAGAGTTATAAACCCAGATACACTTAAGCCCTCCACCCACTGTGTGTGTAATGTTGCAGTTGACAGTGGGAAAGGTAAAGCTATTTACATATATGTTCAGCAGTTTAAAGTTTAAAAGTTAAATTTGGCAGACAATTTAGTTTCATTGACACTATCAAGCATTCTGAGGTACAGAAACACCAGTTTAATACAGATTCATTGGATTGAAGAGGCAGACTTATTTCAGTTAAGGTGAGAATAGTAATTTTATCGTTTGGCCCCCTCTTTTTGAAAATGTCCCCCTTTTTTCAGGTCCAATGTGCCATTTGGCCCCCAAATTTTGATTCCTGGGCAGATCACTGCTGCATGTATTAAAATGTAGCAGACCCCTTGAAGACTGGATATTGTGTCAACATAATCCTCCACTCTAGGGGTAGGGGGCAAATATAATTTTGTTCTGTATCAGAACCACCTTTTGATGAGAAGCAAAACATTATACTTTGTTTACCACTTTCTAATTTGAATAATTTACACATAATGATGCAGACATACAGCAGGCAGAACCATGGGGTCAAATAACAAGAAAGAGAGGGATTTATGAGTGCAACATACAAAAGTGTGCAATCCCTCTACCCAAGATATATATTGAAGAAATGAATATTTGTATACATATTGGCCTAGTTGTGAATCATGTCATGACAAGGGCAATAATCGAATCTAGTAAGGTTGTAAAAGAAACTATTTATATGAAGAGATTGTGTGAATTCTAGCAACCTGGAATCTACAATGCTGTTCTCAAAATAATGAGAAACAAACAACTATTTTACCTAACAGAATCAATATCATATATGCCATATGTAATGGCTAAATTTTAATCTCTTAATGTTTAATGGTAGCTTTTCACAAGTTGTAGGTATCAATTAATTCAACTTTGTCACATAGTGCAGAGAGTCACGTCTTCATGCATATCCATGTATTTGTATATACACCATAACCAATAAAATATACAAGAATGTTCAGATAATGATCCAATTAGTAGTTACAACATAGCATGCAGTATGATATACAATAATTGCACTTTACAGGAATGTTGCTGTATTTCAAAGCCCACCTATTGTACAACTTTGAAGATGGTTACTAGGAATCATCATCATGTGTCGAGCTTCAATGAATCTTCCTTGAAGGAGAGCAGTAGGTGATACAGGCTGTGGTCAGAGGGAGTCTGTCCATACTGAGCTCTGAGTTGCTGGAAGTTAGGTCCTAATTCACCCACATCACTTTCTGCTGAATCTGGAGCTGCTTCTTGAACATCCTGGAGCAGAGAAAACAAAAACAATTTGGTGATGCACATGTAAAATAAGGCAGGCTTAATTAGAGGATGTTATTCAGTAATAAAAACTGTAACTAGAAGTTCTTGATGCTCAAAAGAAAACGGTGTCTGCACCCATACACTTGATTTAAATAACACACAGATGTTATAATAAATCAGATAAACAGCTTTATTCTTTATTCTTTCATCACATATACTGAAAGATTCTAAGTACTGGGTATTGGTTGTTTACTATTAATTTTCTATTAAATTATAAGTACATGAATTTGATAATTACAATAACTTGTTAACTTTAGAAATAACCTTTATCATATCTGTCCTCTTTACAATAGCCTCTCCCTCTGCAGTCTCTGTGATAAGTGGACAGTTGTTGACCAGGTCAAACTTCACTGAGCTGGCATGAGCATGGGAGGTTTGAACACTGATACACACCTGTATTTGCAAATCAGAGAAAGCATGCAGATACATAATTGTTGATTATAAAGATAACCAGGATATAGTCATACTGTAACCTTAAACAGTAGGTCACAATGTGTTAATAACAACCACTGTTAAGAAAGGTGTTTCTGTTCCTTTTTTTTAAAGTTGTTCTCTGTGGTTATTGACTAATTACATATTTCTGTCACTATAGCACTATAGAGTAATAGGGAACTAGTAATGATATATAACAATTTCATATTCAGCTGTGCTAAGATTCATCTCTTCTGATTCCCCATTACTATAATAGTATTATCCATGTAAAATTACATACAAAGCAGCAAAGCTGTCAAATGTACAGACAAAAAATAATGTTGCACAGAATGGGGCTATTTTGCCAATTTTGATGCAATAATGCATTATGCTTAACAGCAAAGTCATCAGCAAATTTTAATTATGCACAAAAGGGAACAAAGATGTCAGAAATATGTAACTAGCATAAGGCTTCAGTATATTTACATAACAATGAATCGTAAACAAAAATAATTGAACCCCCATACTCTAAATCCCAGTAGCTTTCACACTATCAATATAAAAACCTTACTGTGATATGACTGAGAAGCTTGTATGACTGAGTTCCCAGGCAGCTGTTTACCAGAACCTGATATTCTGATCTGGTCAAGTTCCCTGATGTCCATTCTAACTGTCCCTCACTGGACACATGAGCCACTAGTCCTTCTTTATTCTTTAGGTACACAGGACCCCTCATTCCATATCTGATTAGGACACCAAATTTATTTGAAAGCATACTATTACCTTATAACAATCTGCCTTGGAAAGATAACACCCAAAGACTTAAAATGACTAATTTATAAAAACTTAATAATCTTTTGGAAAATCATGTTGATAACTGAACATTTTGTATTAAAAATGGATTACAATAAAAAAATTTTACATCATAAAGAGGGACAAATCTTGTGATTCAAGATTGTATGAAGGAATAATTTTATGCAATAATTAACACTCATGGAGCTAGTTAAAAGATAACTCACTTTGGCACAAACACCATAACTCCATTAGCTCTAAGCTGAAATATCACAGCATCTGCTATACAGTAAGAGTCTTTTTCCGGGCGGTTCTTGAAATAGAGAGCTTGGAACAGTTCTTGAGACTCCCGCTCAGCATATTGAGCAGCCTGAAGAAAAAACAGTAAGTCTAAAAAACAATCCTGAAGGTCTGACCTAACATCCAGTCATAAGAAATAGAACTTAAAAGCTGGGGAAGCAAAGGAAGAGAGTTTAGACTAATACAACACAGAGGCTAGAGAAGAGAGAGAAAATGATGAACTAGACATTAAATGAAATAAATTAAATAAAGGTAAATTATATCTGAATCAGATAAAAACATACTCTGTGCTTATCATTGATGTGATGGGCCAGTTCTTCTAAATCTTTGTTGCTCATCAAACAACTTGCATCTTCTTGTCCAAGAGCAGCAAGCAGTGTTCTATGGACCTGAAATGAGGGAAAAATTTAAAGCACATCCAAAATGCTAATAAACACATTGTGTTCACATATTTTGAACCTTTATTTGCTCAATAACCATCAACTTGACTTAATGATGTAAATATCGCTCATTTTAAAGGGACATATCTTTCAATTCAGTAACATAAGACCCATGATAAAAATGGCTCAACTAAAAACCATTTATACTTACCAAGATATCTGCATACCTTCTAATGGGTGAAGTAAAGTGAGTGTATTTGTCAAGTGCCAGACCATAATGGAAAAACTGGTCCCTGGGCAGAGAACCAGTGGAGAAATACTGAGCATTGGACATGGCTTGAGTAGCCAAGGTACGCAGAAGCTGAAAGAAAGCAAATGCATGTAATTATATTCTTTTTTATCATTTTTAAAATAAAATAACTTATTTGTAGAGATTTAAACCACCTTCGCAGATTTTCCAAATGAGTTTTTTAAATTGAATTAATAAGCTATTTTAAATATTTTTTAAACTTGAACCTATTATCTAAAGAATTGTCCATATAAAAATTCAGAAATTATCAGTCAGCAGAAGTGTAGCAGAATCTTTGTAATACTTGTAAAAAATGGCATAAAGATTACATTTCAAGTTTCCTTTTTTTTTATGCCCATCCAAATAACATGTCAGAGTAGGCCACATGATGTGATGCCTACACATTACACTTACATGGCATAATTTCTTTGCAACACCAATCTGCTCACCTTATTCACAGATGGATCCTGAGGATCCACACACTTATCTAAAGATTCTGCAAGAGCTTTATTACTGTGTGTTTGGACATCAAATCCCTTGGCCTTGGCACAATTCACCAGATTCTCAAAGTCCTCTTGTCTGGGGAGAGGGTGATGCCTCAACTTAAATAAAAGAAACCAATAATTAAGATAGAAGGCAGGAAAAACTATGATTTTTGTTTTAAAAAATAAAATAGGTATTTGTGGTTGAATTATTTCCAACCTCTAAATGGAATCTGTTATCATAGTAAATATTCCCAGTAAGAAAGACAAATAAACAGTATTTTTCACTGAACTGGAAAACATAAAACAAGATAAGATCAAATACAAAAAATTCAAATTGCATAACATTCCCTACGTACCAGAGATTGGCTTGGGAAGCTGTCCACTATTTTCTTGGCTACCCAGTGGTTGGCATAGATCATGCACTCGGCTATAGTTTCATGGATCTCCAGGGGCTAAATCAAAGGGCAACAATCATACCATAAAAATGTTATAATATAATAGCATCAATACCAGAGCAGAAACAACACACGTATGCTAATTCAAGGCACATAAATTGTACTTAATCAAAACATTTGTGCAATAATTCAAATAATCATAATGTAAGCTTTGAAGTAAAGAGAGCTCAAAGGGCACAAGGACTCTTTATCAATTCCCACAGTTCAAATCTTGAACATGAGAAATTTTCTGTAACTTTCTTCAAGCAAAAAGTTTTATTCCTTTTCAAAGAGATAAAGTTAGCAAAACATGTTTAAATCTTTCAAGAAAAATTTCATGCTATTTTATCAATTAGTGCCCCAAAAGTAACAATAATATTTTCATGAGTAAANATTTAAAATGGATTACAATAAAAAAATTTTACATCATAAAGAGGGACAAATCTTGTGATTCAAGATTGTATGAAGGAATAATTTTATACAATAATTAACACTCATGGAGCTAGTTAAAAGATAACTCACTTTGGCACAAACACCATAACTCCATTAGCTCTAAGCTGAAATATCACAGCATCTGCTATACAGTAAGAGTCTTTTTCCGGGCGGTTCTTGAAATAGAGAGCTTGGAACAGTTCTTGAGACTCCCGCTCAGCATATTGAGCAGCCTGAAGAAAAAACAGTAAGTCTAAAAAGCAATCCTGAAGGTCTGACCTAACATCCAGTCATAAGAAATAGAACTTAAAAGCTGGGGAAGCAAAGGAAGAGAGTTTAGACTAATACAACACAAAGGCTAGAGAACAGAGAGAAAATGATGAACTAGACATTAAATGAAATAAATTAAATAAAGGTAAATTATATCTGAATCAGATAAAAACATACTCTGTGCTTATCATTGATGTGATGGGCCAGTTCTTCTAAATCTTTGTTGCTCATCAAACAACTTGCATCTTCTTGTCCAAGAGCAGCAAGCAGTGTTCTATGGACCTGAGGGAAAAATTTAAAGCACATCCAAAATGCTAATAAACACATTGTGTTCACATATTTTGAACCTTTATTTGCTCAATAACCATCAACTTGACTTAATGATGTAAATATCGCTCATTTTAAAGGGACATATCTTTCAATTCAGTAACATAAGACCCATGATAAAAATGGCTCAACTAAAAACCATTTATACTTACCAAGATATCTGCATACCTTCTAATGGGTGAAGTAAAGTGAGTGTATTTGTCAAGTGCCAGACCATAATGGAAAAACTGGTCCCTGGGCAGAGAACCAGTGGAGAAATACTGAGCATTGGACATGGCTTGAGTAGCCAAGGTACGCAGAAGCTGAAAGAAAGCAAATGCACGTAATTATATTCTTTTTTATCATTTTTAAAATAAAATAACTTATTTGTAGAGATTTAAACCTCATTTTCCAAATGAGTTTTTTAAATTGAATTAATAAGCTATTGTAAATATTTTTTAAACTTGAACTTATTTTCTAAAGAATTGTCCATATAAAAATTCAGATATTATCAGTCAGCAGAAGTGTAGCAGAATCTTTTTTTTTTTTTTATTGACACAATACATCACGAATACATGACAATACAAAAACAAACAAACAAACAGACACTCGCTCACACACTCACACATAAGAGATGTTATGCCATATAACACTTTTTAGTTAATTACATCATCGTACGCCAAATATTCAAATTGAAAATAACTTAATTATATTTCAATTGTACTGACAGATTGACTTATCTGTTTTCACCAGATATCTAAGGGCCCCTTTACACTGGACGGCGTTCTTTCTGCGTCCCTTCTGCGTTCAAAAATGTGGCCAGGACGCTCAACGGTCGCCAAAGCAATTAAATTGTGTCTCAGTGTAAAGGCGTCTGCGTCCCTTGTGCGTCCTTTGAACGACCGAATCTTGATTTTACCTGTAGAACTGCAAGCAACCTGCCTGCCTCCACTGTACGTCCCCTGTGCAACCCAAGGCGTCCATTGCGATGTTTGAGCTACCATTGAGGATTCTTGCTGCATTCTCTGTACCTTCATCGGCTATCAGTGGCGTCTATTCTACGATCATTCTGCATCCTGCTTGACCGATGAGCGTTTTTTGGGCGTCCTTCTCTACATTCTAACTCATATTTTTTCATCGGTTCTATCCAGGCCATCCAATAAAGAACATTTCCAGCACACAAAACAAATAAATGGGAATAAACGCTTTAAACTATAGTGATGCAAAGTCTGCATGGACAGAAAATCAGCCAGATGCTCATTGTTATCCTTATAAGAAGGATGGACAGGCGCCGAAAGCGAGAGACACAACATAGAATAATTGAATCCGTTTTCAAATGACGCATTCTGCAAAAAATTCTGACATTTAATGCATCTTGTAAAAAAGGCAAAATATTCGTTTTATANCCCTTGTGCGTCCTTTGAACGACCGAATCTTGATTTTACCTGTAGAACTGCAAGCAACCTGCCTGCCTCCACTGTACGTCCCCTGTGCAACCCAAGGCGTCCATTGCGATGTTTGAGCTACCATTGAGGATTCTTGCTGCATTCTCTGTACCTTCATCGGCTATCAGTGGCGTCTATTCTACGATCATTCTGCATCCTGCTTGACCGATGAGCGTTTTTTGGGCGTCCTTCTCTACATTCTAACTCATATTTTTTCATCGGTTCTATCCAGGCCATCCAATAAAGAACATTTCCAGCACACAAAACAAATAAATGGGAATAAACGCTTTAAACTATAGTGATGCAAAGTCTGCATGGACAGAAAATCAGCCAGATGCTCATTGTTATCCTTATAAGAAGGATGGACAGGCGCCGAAAGCGAGAGACACAACATAGAATAATTGAATCCGTTTTCAAATGACGCATTCTGCAAAAAATTCTGACATTTAATGCATCTTGTAAAAAAAGGCAAAATATTCGTTTTATAATAACCTTAAAAAAAAAAAAATTGAACGTTTCTTGAATTTTAGGGGAAAAAACAATCGGAGGCTGATATGAGACAACTGTTGCCCATAGAATTCCTGTCTGGTGAAAAATACCTCAGCACGGCCCCGTTTGAGAGTGAAAAAATTATGTTCTACGTGCCGAACACTGGACGATCTTTGGGTTTTCATTCTGCAACCAAAGCGATGCTTGTGCCTCCTTTCTACGACCGCGGTGATGCTTGTGCGTCCTCTCTGCGACCACGGCGATGCTTGTGCGTCCTTTCTGCGTCCATTGAGCGACCATCCTCCATCGCGTTCTCTCTGCGATTGTTTTGAACATGCTCAAAACTTCGCGGCGTCCATGGCGTCCTCGGCGATGCTTGAACGTTCTTTGTGCGACCTTGGCGATCACTGTGCGTTCTTTGAGCGTCCGAAGGCGTCCTGGCCAGTTTCATGGTCGCACAAAGGACGCAGAAAGGACGCCGTCCAGTGTAAAGGGGGTTTAAGCGATGAAATCAAACCTCCTAATGTTGGTTTACCCTGTGAACATCTTAAATAAATATAAAATTTAAATTGCAACATAATGAGATTAATAATTGGAGAGAGGCCCGTAGAGCCGACTAAGCAATTCCTTTTTGAGACAGGTAGAGTAACTTGAGTATTAGATAATATATATTCTACCAAGTCGGTCAATAATTTTTGGGTAACCGCACAATTCCAGAATAAATGCTCTGTTGTTTCTTCAGCTCCTTTGCAAAAGGAACATATACTGTTGTCGACCATTTTATATTTGAAAAGCAGTGAATTTGTGGTAAGGATATTATGATTAATTCGAAATTGGAACCAGTGAAGCTTTGAATCTTTTGTTATTGTGAAAGGAAGTTCAAAAATCTTCGGGCATTTATTTTCTTCCAAATTTAACAACTCCTTCCATTTATTCATACCTTTTGACATCTCAAGAACACCTACTTTACTTAAAGTTTTATAATAAATCTTTGAGCCTTTTGAACAACCTGAGAGCAACACTATATGATCAGGAATTAAAGGAGTGGCCATTTTACTTAATTTTTCAGGAATACCACCAAGCCATTCTTTTATGGCTGAGATAATTCCATGGTATTCGACAAAATTTGTGTCAATACCGTGGATATCCCTGAACGCAGTGAAGTCATAGAACTCCCCAGAGTTCAGGAGTAGATCATTAACAAATCTAATGTTTTTGTCATACCACGATGTATAGAAGACAGGTTTATTTCCAATAAGTATGTTTTCATTTAGAAAGAGTGGAATGTTACCAAAATCCTTGATTTTATTGGCCATTACTGTACCACAGAGTTCTTTCCAGGCTGCTAAGGCATCAATCCAGAATCTATTTTTTATGTTTTTCAAGATTTTTGAGATATATTCCAGGTGCGGATCCAGAGATATTTTCTGACAGTCTTCCAAGTTATCTTTGTTGATCCATCCTCCATTTTTGACCGTCTTCCGACAGAAAATATTACATGCCCGACAATATAAACTTGAAAATCTGACCGTCTTCCGGAAGACCCAGAAGACCGCCTAAATCCGCCCCTGTATTCTGTACCACATGTAATTAGTTTTTCAGTGTCTACATATTTGGATATAATATTTTTCCATTCTTTATTTTCGAACATAAGTCTTCTTGCCCATGAAATTTTTAACGATTTTATAAAATGCCTCACGCTTACCATCCTCAAGCCCCCAGCTTTATAATCTCTTATAATGATATTTCTTTTAATTCTATCAGGTTTATTATTCCAGAGAAAAGAAAAAAGACACTTTTCTAATTCTTTAATCTGTTTTTCCTCTGGGTTTGGGAGCGATATAAATATATGGTTCAATACTGGCAAGGCTTATGTTTTTATTACTGTTATTTTACCAATTGGTGTTATATTTCTTACTCTCCACTGATTAAAAATTTTTTTCATGGAAGTTAACTTGGTCTCCATATTTTGCTTCGTTATCTTACCTAAATCTACGTCAAATTCTATCCCTAGCATTTTGAAACTAGTTTTTCCCCAATCTAATCTATATTTTGGGCAGAGGATATCATTAGAGTATTGCTTTGACCCTATCCATATAACTTCAGTTTTAGAGAGATTAATATGCAGACTGGAGATCTTCGAAAATTTATCCAAGACAAACATACATTCATTCAGTGACTTTTCACTCCCGTCAAATATAAGAGTAGTGTCATCTGCATATAATGAAATTTTTAATTCTTTTGCACCTATATTAATACCCTTTATATTGTCATTGTTTCGTATAAACGCCGCCAATATTTCGGCACATAGAATAAAGAGATATGGTGAGAGGGGATCCCCCTGACGGCATCCTCTATTAATTTTAAAGAATTCCGACATATTCCCCCCTTGATTTACTGTAGCAGAGATGTCATTGTAGAACAATGCAGAATCTTTGTAATACTTGTAAAAAATGGTCATAAAGATTACATTTCAAGTTTCCTTTTTTTTTTTTTTTTTTTTTACAATTTTGAACTCCTGAACACAATATTACTGATTACTATTCCCTATGCCAAATAACATGTCAGAGTAGGCCACATGATGTGATGCCTACACATTACACTTACATGGCATAATTTCTTTGCAACACCAATCTGCTCACCTTATTCACAGATGGATCCTGAGGATCCACACACTTATCTAAAGATTCTGCAAGAGCTTTATTACTGTGTGTTTGGACATCAAATCCCTTGGCCTTGGCACAATTCACCAGATTCTCAAAGTCCTCTTGTCTGGGGAGAGGGTGGTGCCTCAACTTAAATAAAAGAAACCAATAATTAAGATAGAAGGCAGGAAAAACTATGATTTTTGTTTTAAAATATAAAATAGGTATTTGTGGTTGAATTATTTCCAACCTCTAAATGGAATCTGTTATCATAGTAAATATTTCCAGTAAGAAAGACAAATAAACAGTATTTTTCACTGAACTGGAAAACATAAAACAAGATAAGATCAAATACAAAATATTCAAATTGCATAACATTCCCTACGTACCAGAGATTGGCTTGGGAAGCTGTCCACTATTTTCTTGGCTACCCAGTGGTTGGCATAGATCATGCACTCGGCTATAGTTTCATGGATCTCCAGGGGCTAAATCAAAGGGCAACAATCATACCATAAAAATGTTATAATATAATAGCATCAATACCAGAGCAGAAACAACACACGTATGCTAGTTCAAGGCACATAAATTGTACTTAATCAAAACATTTGTGCAATAATTCAAATAATCATAATGTAAGCTTTGAAGTAAAGAGAGCTCAAAGGGCACAAGGACTCTTTATCAATTCCCACAGTTCAAATCTTAAACATGAGAAATTTTCTGTAACTTTCTTCAAGCAAAAAGTTTTATTCCTTTTCAAAGAGATAAAGTTAGCAAAACATGTTTAAATCTTTCAAGAAAAAATTTCATGCTATTTTATCAATTAGTGCCCCAAAAGTAACAATTGTTTTTTCATGAGTAAGTGTCTGTTGTACTTTTTATTACCTGTTTCATGATGAGCTTCTCAATCTGCTTGGTATCATCTAACTGAACTTTGACCTCTACCCCTTCCAGTTCAAGGCCACCACTGTGGAGTCGCCTTGACCGCAGCTGCCTGGCAATGTCCATTAGCTTGTCGATAGCCCAATGCAGCTCCTGTATCCTGTGAATGTATCAATTAATTTTTTCAGGCAAGTGCATTTAACAATATATTATGAATTCATGTCCTTGTCTCAAACAATTTTATTGGACACCCTAGTGCAGAAAAATACTCAGAATTTTTCAATTTTTAATTCATTATACCTCTTCTGACATACATTGAGTCTTATATCACAGTAAAGCTGGAGCATTAGTAGTAAACCATAACAGTAAGTGGAAGCAGTGTTTGGTAGCTGTAACCATTGGCATTGGAGATGGAGTCAGTAACATGCAAGTCCACTGCATGCAGACAACTCACTGGGCTTTCTTCTCTGTCTGTCCAGTGGTTGGTAGAAGTATGAAGTGAGACCAATACAGAGTAGTGCAGGGGTCTTACACAATAGCCTGTTGGCAGAGTGCCAATAGGTAAAAAAAACTTCTTACCATAATTAAAGGTAACACTACTCACACTGTACTAACACTACAGTTACTCTAATGCTCTAGCAGTACACTACAGACATAAATACAACAGAAATAATTTTCATTTCATTGCTTTAATTGACCATAAATGCTATAATTGGCATTTTTGAAGAAATTCCCATTGTATACATATTATAACAGGCATTTTATGAGCAAAATAAAATGCAATACCGTTTCTCTACTTCACTATTGTCTAATCCCTGGAGCTCAGGAACTTCCTGGACTATCTCACTGATAGAAGCGCCATCATGAATTGCTTGAGCCATCTTGTATATGAAAAACATGCATTTAAGACAATGATGTGGGATACAAAACGCTTGTGTTACTTTGTATTTTAGTTCTCTTCAGTGGATGTTGTTCTATACTGCCAGCTTGTAAAATGTGTGAATAAGAAGAGTACCTGCCTTTTAAATTATTTACTATTGGTCATCATTTTCAAGAATGTGTAAAAAACAAAACTCACTTTCATTTATATAGCTTTACTTAGACCACTCACTTCCCCCATACCTCATAGAAAAGCTTATAGCTGGATCTTATTACAGTCCTCCCATACCATACATCTAATACTTCATAACTTGGACTCAACTCCCATATTACACTGACTGCATACCTGAATGTGGAAATAATAGTTACCAGCATAATTCAAAGCGATATAATTCAACTTAAAGTCAATAATTTCACTAATGATTACTCAATAAATTTACAAGAAACATCTCATTGTAGAACTGTGGCATAAGAAAGTACACTTTAGCAGTAGACCAACAATTAATTGGAAGTCTCTATGGAAAGTTGAACCCACCTGTCCACGCTACCCAGTAGAGAACAGAGATCAGCACTCAGTATAGCAGGCAGCATGTCATAGCGCCTGTCAGCAAGATAAACACTGGTGGAGCGAGCTTGAGCCTCAAGGTCATTTAGAGAACCAGGCTTCACAAAGTGAGTCACATCAGCAATATGAACCCCAAGCTCAATGTTGCCATTCTCAAGAGTTCTAAAGAAGCATCAGGCTCTATTTAATTAATAAATCAAAACAACACTCCATTGATATCAACTACAAGAGTAATCCTTTTTTCAAAAAGATTTTATAAAATATGAATTTCAAGAAATGGTGCATATTATCCTCACATTAAAAAAAGGTTTCAAATAAACCTTAAACCAAACAAATTTCTTTCATATTTGCTAAACAATCAGAAAAGTTTGGACCTATTGAGAATCAAACATGTTGTCTTCACCTCACAGATAATGTATCATCAACATCTTCACAGCCTTTGGGGTCAATACTGAATACAAGGTGTGTGGTCCTCAGGTCTCTTCTCCTTGATATCTCTGCCTCAGTCATACACCATGGGTTCTCAGGAGAGTTGCTGGGCAGTTCTTTTAACTTTGAACAGGCAAAAAAGTCTTTCAAAATCAATTCTATTAACTTAATACAAATTGCAATTTCAAACCATAGAAAAATTGATTTGATAAATAACCATCATTTGACTCGAATTCACAATTATTAAAACATGCAATTTCTTCAACAGATATTAAATGTCAGCATCATCATTTAAAACCAGGCATGAATGTTTATTATGGCATAAATTATACACAACCGTAGTGAGGTTGACATTGAGTATTAGTGGAAAAGTTATAACTCAAAAGATAATTTTACTTCCATGCCTACCAAACCTTTAAAATGCATCTTTCAATGATCATTTTTAAGTAATTAGTAATATAAGAAAAATCAATTAAATTAAATAACGTTCTTACTTGATTATCTGGAAAAGCTCCGACTGAAATGTTATTCTGAACCAAAAGTGCAGCAATTTCTGTTTCTAAATCTCCAATCTTTCCAAGCTTTCTAACAAAATGTCCATTAGGATACTGAGAGTCAGAATCCCAGGAGTCTATCCTCACTACAATCCTTCAAGAAAGGTACATTCTTTTAAACATTTAATATCTAAATCTTAAGCTCTCAAAGTAATTCATCACAATTATCATTGACATTTTATTTATTTTATGAAATTTTATCTATTACACTTTTTCGGGGTTTTTTTTTAATGCATTATAGGGATACTGAAAACTATGCGCAAATAATCTACCTGTGATCTTTCAGAGCTTCAGCTTGACTTGTACTTATGCGTATCTTGGGTATTCTGTAGTCATACGGGATTACTAGATGTTTCCCAGAGTGCATTTGGCTGTTAGAACCATCCTTTAATTAACAAATAAATAAAACATACATCAGCTATGCTGATTCATTTTGCTCAAAAGAAATATTAAATTTACAAAGGATTAAAAATTTCTCTCTTTCTTTACACTCAGAAACACACATGTGCACATATATGAACACTTCACACTTATCAGTTGGGCTTTGCTTTCTAGTTAGCTGTTCAAGACAACTTGCAAATCTGCTCTTCCTGTAACAGAAAAGGAGCTTAAACAATCTGTTACCCAGGCAACCAACTAGGCCTCAACTAGGGTTGTAAATGGTGCCATTGAAAACCAGTTTGTTGCTTATATCATATGGATAAAACTAACACAATCTACCTGTTCTTGTGCCTGAAATGATGCCACATAATCTTTCCAGTTCCTCTGCTCTATGCCCACCACCTGACCAGTAGTCATTACCACACTTTGCTGCTCATTGCTCTCCTCTTCCTTCTTCAAACCTATAGTTAAAAATTGTTTCTAAATCTGTCACAATGTGTTAAACATCAATAAACTAACAACCACTTTCTATTCCAAAACAAATGAACCTCCTCAATTAAAATATTCAGTAAACATAGTTCTTCTTCAATCTGCTTGAGACTATTTATATAAATTTTGCCACCCTCTGACTCTTACCTTGTTCCTCCTCTTTTATGGCCAAGCATTTTCCTTTCCACTTGTTTCTGGGGAGTATCTCCACCACAACAATATCACCATGTATAGACCTGTTCCTGGCAGTCATGCCAAAAATAAGTATGTCCGATTCACGGTCATCTTTTTTACTACCCATTCTGGAAAATAATCCATTTTGTTTTTAAATCTTCGGGATTGTTAGAAATAAAACTTTAAGATAAAACATGTTTTTATTCTTTAGCAAAATTTTGAAGTTGAAACAAAAGTACTGTTTGTCAGTAGTACATGCTTTGATGTTATTTTAAAAAAATCATTTTAAAATTTAAGTAGGTTTATATTTCATTTCATTGTGGAGATATGAAACTTCTTACCCTTCCCTACGTACAAAGGCCTCATTCTGGGCGTTATGTCGGTTGACTTGGAGGCAACCTCTCACAAACCTCCCCGCTTTAATACCAGCCTCCAACACCTCAGCAGGTAGGTAGCCAGAATAGCCTTGTCCTATTTAGATGAAATCTTCAATATTCATAACAATTCAATTTACCCACAATTCCAATATCCATAGAAAGGAATTTATTTTCTATAATCTACAAATTTCTAAATATGGTTAGAATTAAATATTGACAAAACTTAAAAGAATCAGTAAAAAAAGTTGATAACTTCATCTATAGTGTGTAAAAATTCCCATTTGATTTAAGGTACACTATTCATGTTAAAAATGTTCCAAAGTCATATTCTCTACAAAATGTCTTCATATCCTGCAAAAATACTCCTTTTTCCCAATTAAGACCTAAACATGATAAAACCTCTAAAAAAAAGTACTTTGCATTAACATTTCCTTTTAAATGGTAAAGGCAAACATGAGGGTCTAAATGACTTGACAGTCATTTAGAACCAACTATCATAATTTATTTAAAATGGCATAAATTATCTAATCAAAGCTCAGGGATGGGTTGAGCAAAGACTCCTGAAAAGTAGGAAACTGCTTATTTTTGTAGGAAAACTACATTTCATGGGAAATCCTGGATAGGCTATTTTAATAACCACTTTACCTTCAGCTTCCTTTTCTTTTAGAGCAGCAGTCAAGGATTCCACCAAAGTTAATGCAGCCGTTAGGTTTGGCCAAAAAGTGGACAGATAATCTTCCATAGTCATCACGAAAATGTTTATGGTTTTGGCAGAATACTCTGCTATCATCTGAAAATGGAGTAGCAAATTTATTACAGTTTCATTTTACCTGACATTTTCTTAAGTACAATCTTAACATGGTCAAACTTACCATAAGATGTTCATATAGACCTCATGTAGTACATTTAAAACCAAATTACAACATTTTTACTTCATCCCATACTATTTCAACAAACCATTTGGTTTTATTTCAAACCATAGAGAGCCAATTAATTCCATTTATTGTCCTAACACAGCTATTATAAGAATTTTGCTGTTGCCATGACCAGAGACTGCTTTGTAGGGCTGAATGATAGCAAGTTCAGCTGTGTACTTACTACCATTCAGTCAGTCAGTTCAGCTGTAAAGGAACTTCAATTCAAAGAGAACTCCAGACTGAACTTCCTAATAGGAGCTAAAGACAAAGTTAAAATAATAACATGGACAGATATCAGACAACAGGATACACTCATTAGGCTTTTGACCTATCAAAAAATTATCATCATGGCTGACTAAAAAAGGCTTTATCACCTAGCAGTCTTAAATATTTAGGGAAATGGTGATATTAAAATTTGGTAGGATCAGCAAAAGTTTGGTAGGACCAGTAAATTTTTGTTCGGTGAAAGGTATGATACAATAAATGATGGCAGAAATGAGGAGGGACCACGAAGAGCGCACAAAATCATCTGACCTAAAGCACAGTGAAGAGAGAAAACAGCTACAAGATCAAGTGGATGCATATGGGATGAATCCACATTTTGAGGGAAATGCAGTCAGAAAAAGACAAAGAGGTGAGAGATCTAAAAAAAAAAGTAATAAATGAATGCAGAACTCTCTATGTATAAGTTAGCACTCGTGCCAACAGAAATGAACAATATTCATGGACAATCAATGTCAAGATATACCGTTTCAGGGAAACATTAAATGAAAATGTAAGGGACAAAGTGAAAGATATTGTGAAAAGTGTCGCAAAGCTGGAAATTAAGGACAATGAAATTGTAGCCTTGCACAGAACCCCAGGAAAGCCGAGAGAAACGCAACATGTAATAACAAAATTGAAAAACACACATCAAATAAAAGATTATGAAAAACTTGAATAGTTAAGAAGTCCAGCAACGCCTAAAAGATCTCAGATGGCAAACGTGAAACTCATTCAACATCTAGGACAATATGAAGATATCAAAAATCCATTGTATTTCAATGGCCAACTTGTGAACTAAGAACTTGACTACTAAGAACAACGAGAGACTTTGGAAGCAAGATAAAGGATTCACAGGCTACAAAAATTAAATGCACGATTGTACTTTGTTTGCTAATGAAAATAAGTTCAGCTGTTTAATTCAAATGTGCTTTTCACAATACAGATATTAAAATGTATTAACAGCATACTTCTCCATCCTTCTTCATACCTGTGGATCCTGTGTTATGATAACAAGTGGCATTGTTCCAGCCAGGTGATTAAAGTACCACTCAACAGCACCATAGGTACTTCTGAAATATCCAAATGCACCATAAAATAGCACCTATTTATAAACTCAAAGGAAAATGTGTAATAATATAATAACAGACTAGTATCCAATTCTACTTCATTACATTATGCAGAAAATTACACTTTAACAATTTAAAAATTTAACTTTAAAAAAAAACTTTAAAAATTTTAACAACCATCTCTGAATGTGATTGATACACTACTTCCCCTTCCTCACCCCCACATTACACCAGTTTGTCAAAGGGGAAATGAAAAACTGTTAAGAGGCAGTTTTCTTGAAGACACCAAAATTGACAAACAAAACAAGGCAGCAAAGCTGTCAAATGTACAGACAAAAAGCAGACAATAACAATGCACAAAACAGGCTACTGTCAATTCTGATGCAAAAGTACATTATGCTTAACTGCAAATTCAACATCAAATTTTAATTATGCTCAACAGGTAATAACAATGTAAGTGAAATGTGTAACAAGCGTAAGGCTTCAGGCCCATGGGAGTTTAAGTTCACACTTTGAAAATGCCAGAATGAGAAAAAAGAAAATTTCACATAAAACTGCTTAAATTCAATAATAAATGATAACCCATTTGAGCTGGCTTTCTAATTTGAACTGCATGCCAATCCTACAAATCATACTTGTAAGTTGAAAATAATAATAAGTAACACAGTTTTCTTTTCATAATGTTTGTAGTAGCAGTGCAAAAAGATTTTTGTCAATTTTGATGTAACATTACATAATAAATTACAGAATAATTATCACCAATTTTTGACTATTGACTATAAATAGCATGGACATGTAGAAAATTTGATTACCATTTGGCTTCATGTCCATGGGAGCTTCGAGTCCCACAATGAATATGCCAACATGATAAAAATGAATATTTCACTAAAATGTATAACTTCCAGAAAAAGAAGCCAATTAGACTGCTTTTCCAACTCAGGCTGCATTTTAGTCCTTTGTTTCTTTTTTGAAAGTTTGACAATCATAAGTAACATGGTTTTCCCATAATGGTCATCATGGCAGCAGCACCCAAAATTGTGTTTTCTTCTATTTTAATGCAATATTACATAATGCTTAACAGCATAATGACCATCAGTTTTTAATAATAAAAGATCCGTATCGTGGATTTTCAGAAAATGTGACTAGCATGGGTCTTCAAGCCCGTGGAGGTTCTAAGTCACACCTTGAAAATGCCAATATGTGAAAAATTAAATTTTCACAAAAAACTGATTAACTGCCAAAAAAATTTACCAAATAGTCTGCATTGCCCACTGAAGCTTTATTTAAGTCCCATGTTTCTTCCTGTAAGTTTGAGAACAGTAAGTGACATGGTTTTCCTTAAATGGTCATCATGGGAGCAGTGTCCAAAATAGGGGTGTCTTCAAATTTTGATGCACTATTACATAATGTTTAACAGGATAATTACCATCAATTTTTAATAATAAAATATTAGTATCATGGATATTCAGAAAATGTTCCTAGCAAAGGTCTTCAGGCCAAAGGAACTTCAAAGTCACACCTTGAAAATGCCAAAATGTAGACAAGACAGCACTGTCCTGAAATGTGTTTTTTTCCATTTTTAACAATTTTTTAACATATAACAAAATTAACAATTTACTGCCATTTATATATGATCAACTAAGAAAATTGATGAGATGGGAAAAATATCAATAGAACAGTGTTTAATGTCCAATTTCCTCCATTCTGAGTTTCTGAACATAGTGAATGAATGAATCTGACAAACTGCAATGATATGAGTTTATTTCCATTTTTGAAACTCTATTATACAATACATGATAACAAGTTTACCATCATTTTTACATAATCAACTAACAATGTTGTAAAGATGCAGGAAATGTCAAACAAACACTTTTACGAATCTTATTAGTTAAATAATGAGACTGTTAACATGCCTAAGAATTGAATCTGAGGAAATGTGAAAAAACAGCATAACTTATAAAATAATGGCCCGATTATGCTGATTTTCGAACTTGACCTGCATTTTAGTAAGATTAATTACTCCTGTGAGTTTCATGACAACAGGTCTATCGGTTTTCCTTGAAATGTGTTAACAGTGTTGCACATATGCTGAAAAGTGAAAAAAACAGCATAACTACTAAAATAGTGGCCCGATCATGCCGATTTTCGAACTTGATCTGCGTTTTAGTAAGATTAATTACTCCTGTGAGTTTCATGACAACAGGCCTATCGGTTTTCCTTGAAATGTGTTAACAGTGTTGCATATATGCTAAAAAGTGAAAACACAGCATAAATACTACAATAATTGCCCAAACATGCTGATTTTCGAACTTGACCTGCGTTTTATGAATATTCATCAGCTCTGTAAATATAAAGCCAAAAAGTAAAACTGTCTTCCACTTATCGTGTTAACGATGAAAGTGCACGGCGACGGCGACGGCGACGGCGACAGGGACGGCGACGACAGACGCAGGTGATGGCAATATGTACAGACACATCTGTGTCTGTACATAAAAATGTCAGGCATACGTGTACGAAATTCCAAGCTCTACTGTTCTCAATTTCTTTAACTACCTCAACCATGGAAGTTATTTTTTGCTTTTGTTGGTTTGTTGGATAACATTCTAACTCAAAAGGTTATGATGATCTTTGATAATTTTTATGGTAGGTCAAAAACTTGGAATTGGTTAGAATTTGGTGATGATCCATTAATTATAAATAAATAAATAAATAAATAAATAAATAATGAGAATAGAACTGCCTTGCTGCAGATCTGCACTCTCAGAATGCTTTTCTAGTTTTTCTTAGGATGACCTTTGTGGCCTTTAAATAAAGAAGCCAGGGGTCGAAATGTTTAGAAAATCATACTTTCCCTGGCGGGAAAGTGATTTTGTATATTACTTTCCCTGCAAGAAAGTAGCTTTCCCTGACAACAAAATCATGAAAACCAATTTCCCTGATATTAAATTAGATTATTTTAATATGATGATGAATAACCAAGGAAAGAACATATCTTTGAGAAATGAATGTTTATTGTTATAAAATAAACTAACATGGCATCCAAATATAGTGTTTGTTATAACAACTGGGAATATTTGTCAACATTAATGTGATATGCTACATCTGCATTGCCGACTGGAAGGACCATCACAATGGCCAAGAGAGCACAAATATTAAGGTACACATCTTAATGTATAGTCAGCAGTCTTCTTAAAATAAAAAAAAAGCAACTATGTCCTGTCCCTTTTCATAAAGTTCCAGCATGGATTTTTTTAACTGAGGCCATTCAACCTGGCACATGTATGTTTTAAAGCCAGCGTCCTTCTAAAATGTTCAGTAAGCCTTTCAATTGTTTTATCTCCATATTCTTCACTGTCTATATTCTCCATGGGTCTATCTTTGGCAGCTAAAAAGTAAGTATTATTGGTAATTGATTGATTGAGATTTTATTGCAATTACATAGAGTTACAGAGAATTTACTGGAAATTGTTCACTAGAATGGTAATGTGAATACTTTACTATGAAGGCTGACTCTGGACACGTCAATTATCATGTAATCATGGTCAATCCAATAAACATTATTGGACTTATTTCTAGTGTGCACAATGATTAATTTCATTTGAAACTTAAGGATTTTTCTTACTAGTAGGCAATTTTATACCAATTAGAAAAGGGGAAGTTGAAAAAGTGCAGTGAAATTTTGATGTAAAAAACACTTCATTTTCAAAAGTAAAGGGAATAAATATACTAATATAAGGTCCTTAATTATAGAGGCTAGAATAACCCATGACATCTTTAAAAAGTTCGTCAGTTTGGTAGGAGTTCAATGAAAAACAAATCAATCACTTCACAAACAGATTTAGTCCTGGTGGAGCTCTTGAGAAGAGCTGAAAATTCGAGGGTAAGGAAAACTTGGTCTGTGATAGGGCCGATTTGTTTTTCAATACATGTCATCAGCAAAGAGCATGAGGTAGGGCAACTTTTATGTTTACTACGTAACAGAAAAGTAAAAACGTCTTGTTTATCATTAACAATTCAAAAGATATGAAACTTGTTAGGCATTATTATCATTTACGACGTACCTTCATCGTCGCCATGTGCGCCTGCTTAATTATCGTGTCTTGAAGTTTACATGCGTCTTGTTAAGCGAGTTTGCTTGGTTTTTCCTTGCTTTCGTCTTTGATTTTTCACTTGAGGAACTCATACTTAAAAAGACTCCTATTCTGACCATCAACCTCCGTCAAACTTGAGCCCGACATAAAACTGAACTTTGCGTCAGCTGATCGTGCATAAATGGCTGACTGATATTCGTTCCCCGTACTAAGCTGTCTGGTGCCCGTTATTTGTGTAGGCTTGGACGCTGTGTTCACTTTGTTCCCGCACATTAATTTGTTTCTGTAAGCTGCGTAGGTTTGTACCTATCTATTTTATACCTGCTAGCTGCGCAGGCTTGATCCTTTCTATGTCAAACATTGTGTAAATGGGGTAGGGAACGAGTCAGATATACCACTGTAAATGCCCGGGACGATTTTGATTGACAACTCTCTTGAAATCCAAAAGGAGGCCCCGTTACAAATTCTAGTTTGTCACGTGAGTGCGTCCTTAGTTTCAGAGTGAGTGCTTACGTCTAGCTTACTTGCGTTGTGGAAATGGTTAAATAATTGACGGCTTGTATCAGCACAACTAGGTGCCAGTAAATGAATTTTATAAAATGTAACAGTTCTTCGGGAAAGCGACCTTTGATAGCAGTTTCCCCGAGAGGTTTTTGCATTTCCCGGGCATTTTCAACGATTTACCAGACGGGAAAGTAAGACTTGACATAGATTTCCCGAGCCCGCAATAGCTTTCCCTCGGGAAAGCGGGAAAGCAACATTTCGACCCCTGGAAGCATATCTTCCAATAAGCTGATTTTAGCTCAACCACAAAGCTCAACTGCAAAAGCACAAAAAAGATAATATTCAATCAAAAAACAAACACCTTATCAAATGGGATTGAAAAATGTACAATAAATTGATCCTCATACTATGAAAATGATCTAAATATGATCTTATTTGACCCATGCTTTTTAAGTCACTACATACTTTCCTAGAACATGAAAAGAGACCACATATGCTTTTTAAAAAAGTATTACCTGACCAGCCACTTCTTCAAAGGTTCCCCAGGCTCTCTGGCACAATAACAGTACTGTTGATATTCATTGTAAAAGACGCAACTCCCTTTACGCCCATCTTTTACAATATTCTTCAGTCTCTGATGACACCGCCTTCCACCTACTGACTGAACCTGAATCAATTTCAAACATTTAAAACACATATAACAATATATGAAAGAAAAGAGTTTGATCTAAAATTATAGTAATTGTGAAAAGTTAGATAACACAAGTGCAAAAAATACCATTAGTAAAAAAAATCACCCTCAACTGATTCAAGTTCATCAGTTCCTATGTCCTAAAGTATAGTTTTAATCTAAAATGTTCCATTAAACACAAAATTCTTTTTATTGAAAGAAAATGAAATATGCTTTAGTTGGGGCTACTGACAGAAATTATATATAATTATAATTTAAAGGATTTACTAGTACTTACATTGTTGACCACTGTCTGCATAAAAACAATTCCTCTGAATTCTGGCATTTCCAAGATTTCTAGGTAGTCTCTAGCCACATCAGCATCTGGCACCATGTAGTGGATGACATCTTGAGCTAGTGAGTTGTTAGTTTTACCTAAATTTTTAAGAATTTAACTGGTTTATTATCCTGCACTTACCATTCTTTTAGTACTTGTACACCGTTTACATTTCTAATTACAGAAAGTAGACTGAAATTTTAATGTTCCAGTTTATGTATAAAAGAAACACTGAAATCAAATTGCAAAAAAAGGAATTCTTTCCTAAAGATTATATGTGACCACATTTGCTAGGCAGTGGCCTCTCTCTCGTGTAAACCTGACCAATGAGGCATTGCTCTACTGTAGTATGGATGTCAGCTTTTACATGACTAAAGGGGAACAATGAAACTTAAATGGCAGAAATCAATTTCATATAGCAAAAAAGCACTTTTACACAAAACTGTTCTTCAGTTCTCCCTAAAGTTGTGACATCACTGGTATACAGAATGAAATAATTTCATAAAGCAAAATATTTTTATCTAAATAATAATATTACCAGTAGTATTTAAATTCTGACACCCTGCTAGACATAGTGGGCTGTGACAAGGAACATCCTCCCTGATATAGTGCTCACGTACAACACACAAAGTACGACCAAGTTTGTTCTTCACGCGGAGTAATTTTTGTGTTTTCTGCATGCTCTAATCTGCAAAAGAAAATGGGGATGTTTAAAAGACAAGCAATTATAACCCAATGAATTTCAAATAACAAATAATTCAACAAAGAACACATGCCACTTCACACACAGACATCCACATTTTATATCAAATGCACCTCCCTTCTTCTGGAATGATTTTCTGGAAATTTCCATCAAATTGCAACAAAAACAATGCGTTTGGGCACTTGTACAGTAGTTGGAAAAACCTGCTCCAATATGTACATAAACATAATTCTTTAAGATTTTTCATTTAACATCAAAGGATTTGTTCTGAGGAAAGATAAATATATATTATATATGACTGTTAAACCATACTGATAATGAAAAGCATCTTCACTTTCCAGGAGTGACAACATTTGCCTCTAGCTGTCTCTCTGTTTAAAATGAAAAACATGAGAATAATCACACTTGTTAAAAATTGTTGCCTATAAACGACAAAAAAATTGCACTATTTCATAGAAAATCATCATCATGGCTGAGGGGTGAGGGAGAAGCACGTGCACCTCCAGCTCCAGAATCCATTTTGATTTCCATTTTGCTTTCCCCTGCGTGGATATGCACGTTGGCTTTGAGAGCAAGACTGACAAGTTGCCCCTCCTAGCATAGAATTCTACACTTAAGTTAACCTGAAGGTATGATAAATATATATATATATATATATCTTTGAGCAAAATGTCTAACATTTGACCAAATCATAAAGTGAACATGACAAGCACCTGTTCAACTTTCGCACCGTGGTCCTGAAACATGGATGAACGCGCGAGTGTGGTCGTTGATTTCCAACAAAACAAATGAATTTTACTTTTAAAATTTCCTCAAATATGGTACCAAAATTAAACAACAATTACCTAACATTATCACATTTCTGTCAAACTGACCTTTTACTAAATAACATTTGAGAAATTTATCATATTTACTCTACCTTAATCAACAAAATAATACGCGCAGTTGTGAGCAATTAAGCTGAACACTGATCATGTATTTAAACCCCGCCCACTTTCGCAAAGTGCTACAACTTGTCCGTCAATCTGATAAGGAACTGGCGTCTGCACGTTGTTCACACCATAACCAGAGCCATTGGGGAAAAGAAATTTCAGTTTCATTGTTCCCATTTAGCCATGTAAAAGCTGACATCTGTACTTAAGTTACAGTTAGTAGCTGCAAGGAGTTACAACAGTTGTAGACTAACTCCTTGGTAGCTGCTACTGCATGGTCTCTAAGAAAGTTTTTTTTCCATTTGCTAAAGCATCCATATTTCCTAATTGAATTCTATATATACTTTTATTTTTTAGATGCAGACAAATTTTTTTAAACTTTTTGAGCTTGGGTCTTTACTCTTTCCTTTTATGTTAAACTCAATTAATATTCTATGTTTCAGACATATGAGCTTCTTGACATAGGAAGAACTTCCTTCCTTTTGTCAGTGTTTTCAAAAACTTTACTCTTGCAATAATTCCCATTATTTTCATTTTCCCCAAAGGCCCAATTTCTATAGATCTATATGTTTTACTTGCAGTAAATGTGACTGTGCATGGCTATTTTCCTCAGCCGTTTCTCTTGTTTGCAGCATGTCTGTTTCCATATCTAGTTGGTCCAGCAGATGATCAATACATTTTTGAACCTCATCTGTGGTTGGAGGAGGAGATCTCGCTATTACATTAATCAAAGAAAAAAAACGCGCTTATTTAATTTCCGATGAAAACAGCATCTTTACGGGAACGTCATGAACGAGGTGACCTGAGCGTTCCACGAAGGGTCACACAACAAAAGTAAATCGGGTCTTCCCAGGAGTCATTGCGGTACATGCGCATAAGAACGCCCTTTCCTTTTGCCGCGCCATCATGTCTTCACGATACTCAAGACCTCCAAATACATCCTTATACATTCGCAATGTTCCAGATGGTCTCAGGTAAGACATTTCGAGAACTTGTTTTTAAAAATATCCAGAGGTAATGTCATCAGACCTTTCTAATATGAATTTTCTCTGGTTTTCGGATGAAAGCAATACTTCTCATCAACTGTTGTAACCGCGTGGTTTGGGTGTTTGGCGTTCGTGTTTCTTGCAGTTAGGTGATTCTCTCCATTACGATAGCTGCGTAAAATGTCTGTTGCTTTCACTTTGCTTTCAAATGTTTAAGGCAAAAATGTTATATCTCTGTACAGTGTATTTTGAATATCGGAAGCAATCTCTTGTTAAAACTCATCTATGTCTTTGGAAACAACAAAAAAAAAAAGGATCACGTGCCTTTATCAAGCCCTTTAAAACTCAATAAGCATGGAGAGTGAAGCCATTAATTTTTTTTTAATTTGTTAATGGTTCAAAGCAGCCTGTTGACAGTAAAATCTGTTTAACCTTCTACTTCAATCTGTATCAGTGTGATGTGTGCATGTATATTGGCTGGTGTTCTTTTCTCCAGACCTGAGGAACTTCGCACCTTGTTTGGTAAATATGGCCCAATAAGTGATGTTTATGTTCCCTTGGATTATTACACTCGGAGACCAAGAGGGTTTGCTTATGTACAATATCCTTGTGTTCAGGTAAAACGAATACCACTCTGAGTATATAAGCCACGGAAAGTTCCCTTTGTCAGAGAAACCAGGAAGTTCATCCATTTTGAAACTTATAACATTCAGTGGCTTCTCTACTCAAATTGGGAAGTTGTTTTTAAGGCATATAACCCATTGAATTATCGGTTTCTGTTTCTAACTCTTTTTATTGTTCTTGTTTTTGCATTTAGATATCAAAGACAAGTAGCAAAGATATTCATAACAGTAGGCACAGTCACTTAAACACAAGTCGTGGCAAGAGTAAAAGATATTACAAGTCAAGTGCAAGACCAGTAACAAGATAAAGATCACAAGTTTTTGTCTGCGTGGTTTCTGGATCTTTGGGCAAGTTGCCAGGGTGAGGTTCTACTGTGCAAGAGTTACACAGCAAAGTAGGCTCACGGGAGCAGAAAAGTATATTTGGAAATCAAGATAGCTTCCCATCTTCGGGGCCAGCTCCTATCTCAAGAAAGAATGAATGAAAGAAACAAGCAAGCAAGAAATTTTCAAATTTGGATCAAGTCAAGGCTGCGGGCGTGGCACCAATTAGCTATTATATCCATGTAATATTAGTGTTTACTCTTGCCATTTTGGAAAATCAAACAGTCATGATAAGTAGAAATTTTGAAAAAAGTGGCATATTTTAGATATCATTTCCTCTTTCTTTAAGATCGGAATCAAAATTTTCCCACGAGTTCAGTTTAATGGGGTATTATTTTGACATGTTTAGCTTAGTTGCATAGTTGTTGCACGAGTGAGATTTTCAGCAATTAAGTCAGATCCCAAAGGATCCTTAACTCCCATGCACATTTGAAGACCCAAGAGATGCAGATGATGCACTGCATTACCTGGACAGATCTAAGTTCTATGGAAGAGAGTTGGAGATTGAATTTGCACGTGGTGACAGAAGAAGTAAGTTTGTTTTTATATTTATATAGATTATGGCACATTTTTCTATCATTTCTTGAAGTTATTTTATTTCCAAAAATCTTAAAGACATAACAATCTAACAAAAAAAGTTGATGTCAATAAATACTTATCCATATTTAAATTACAAATGGTCTCACCCTGGCTTCAGAAAACAATTGACACTAAAGTAATTGTGTTCTTAGTGTTGTTTATTAGAGGAAACTTGTCTTTCAGCCCCAGGTCAGATGAGAGCTAAGGAGCGTTCTGCAAGACGACCACCTAGATCCCCACCGTACAGGTCGCGCAGATCACGTAGTTACAGCCCTAGGTAAGTGAATAGTGATGTAGGATTGTGTGTTCATTAATCTTTGTTAATTTTCCCCCAGAATTGTTGAGCATTTGATGGAGTATTATCTAAGCAAGATTAATGTGGCTTGTGTCGTTGAAGACCAATTTTCTAATATTCATTAGGAGTGGTATACTTTGGCACAGGAGACTTATAATATGATGTTCCTAACTCTTGCTCATGTTACAAAATAACTTTTTTCTTGAATTGTGATCAGTGCACTTTATTCCTAATACAATATTGTAACAACTGCTTTAATAAGTTATGAAATGTTTGTTTGCAGGCACAGAAGCCCCAGCCCCAGAAGGTGGGTCAGAAAATTTTAATATCCTGTTTTAGATCTGATAAATATAAATGGAATTTTATTTTGCATGATATTTATTGCTTCAGATTAGAAGAGAATATTTTGTCCTACTGTTATTTGGCTTCTATTAGTGAAAATATTGATTGATAGACTTCAACTATACTTTTAGAAACCGCTCATTTAGCAGAAGTCCAAGAAGGAGATCAAGAAGTCCAAAAGAGAGGTAACAATTGCTTATTTTATATAATAACTATTTTATTTATTAAAAATAATTATATTTATTTTTTATTTCAACAGGAGGGCTGGTATCATAGGTACACAAAAGTTTAAATCAAAAGCAAAATACTTGCTTTTACTATAAACTAAGTAGCTTGGATAAACCCGGTACTTAACCATGGTCCTTTTGTCTAATACATTGGTTTATTTTATTATTGTATATTTTTACAGTAAGAAGAGATCATACAGCAGGTCCCGCAGCAGGTCTCCCTCTCCAGGCTACAACAGAAATAGGAGTCCTCCCAGGAGGTATGTTTAGGATGAGAAAGAAGTTGGTCCAGGTCATTTATATTTTGATTGTCAAGTGGCATGTCTTACAACTAATTGTGCTTTAACCTGGTTTTGTCCAATGTGTTACATGTTATAACTTGACAAGTAAGTAAATTAGTATATATTTTTAGAACAAAATTAGAAAAACAAGCTGAAAGTATATCAGTTTGGAAAATATAACATATCATGCAGAAAGACACATATTGACGATTTTCTTTCTTTATAGGTCCTTCAGTCGCTCTCGATCTCGCAGTCCCATTCCTGATGATGGTCCTCATAGCAGGAGCCGCTCTCCACCTTGAGGATGTCATATGATCAAACGCACTTTTATGTCTGTAAATGTTTTAGACTGGATCATTTGAGCACAAGCAATCGTGTATAGCATTTCCATACAAGGATATCTGAGCAAACTGTAATGAAACATTCCTATGCATTGGTACGACATCCCTGAAGATAACAGTAATTGTCAAAGCGCGATAAGCATCATGCATGGAATTTCATATTACAGACAATATTGGCACATTTAATGAGAAATTGCAAAAACTTTGTATTTTTTGGAAGATGGTCAATTTTTCAACCTAGCAAAATTGAAATGATAGCAATGCTATGAATCTTTTAAACAAGGAAACCCAAGTTGCCTAGAGCACGATGTAATATATATTAATTTTACATTTATTAGTTGGGTAGAAAATGTAAACAATTTTAGGATAGATAGATTTGTACAGTTCAGTTTTATATTGATGTCTGGTAGTTTAGACAAATTTATTTAATAAAAAGGTTTGAAAAAATGCCCTTCACGTATTTTGTAAGGATCGATCATTGTATTGAACAAAAGGGCAATCAATTTAAAGATAACCTCAAAAAGACTTTCTATTCGATGATTATTTTTTCTGGTTAGAACCCAGCATTACATTTACAGTTCCTATGTAATTTGTTGGCAAATTATTCTTTTAATTCTCACTTGGCAAAATCCTTATACATCCCATTTAGCAGTTAGAAATAAAGCGATCTGAAATAATAAAAGCCCAACTAAAGGAATGTTCACGTGAATCAAAGTTGTGGAATATGATCTTTTATAGAAACATCTTTCTTGTAACTATCACATTAAGAAAATTTTGGAATGGAGTTAACCTGTTAAAAAACTGCCTTTTGCATGCATTTATACCACTCTTGAAAGATGCATTATTAAGCAATCTGAGAGCTTCCTTTGTTGGACTGCTTATCAATGTTTTCAACAGCATGCATAGTGAGTAAAGTTCTAAAATTTAACCATTCCTTCTGCTGCAGCCAAGTTGTATAAAAAGTTCTGTGTTGCTGGTGGCATTTTCCTTCCTTGCAAAATTTCAAAAGAGATGTAAGGCTTGTCATCCTCTCCAACTGTGGCCAAGCTCTTTAAATTATTCAAGAGCTCTTTTGTCTTTACAGATATCTCCTGGAAATTGAATAAAGGGATAAACTGGATATTTTTATGAACAATGCAACTTGTCAGTGCATGAAATGGTACAGAAAATAAAAACAAAAACATTGTACAAAGCTATTAACAGATGAGTCTGTTCAAATACTAGGAAATGAAAACGGCCACTGCATAACTTGTATACTAAATTTTAAACCAGCTTGATATAATTACAAAATTTCTACATACAATGTTATAGTAAATGTTTTAGTAACATTAATTTAGTCTAAAATGTACTTAGTGTTGAAAACGGTTTAGTTTGAAGAAATAAAATGATACAGCATTCATATTTAATGTTCAAGGATATCTGAGCAATTTTTTCTGAGCTTATTTTTTAAAAGAATAAACTTAAGTGAAAATAATTACACTCGAAATGTTCACTTATTTTGCATGAGGAGATTGAGGGAGGGCGTTGTTGAGCTTATGACCTGGATACCTTCTAACTGTCTACACCTACCTTGATTACCTGCTGTTCTCCCATGTCATCATTATCTGCACACTGCACCATGAACATAGCTATGTCTTTGTGGAGCTTACCCATTGCAAGGGATTCTGAAATAACCAACGTGATTGTTTAGGAGATTTGGTTCTCACCTTTTTAAATGGCGGAACATAATCTGCCTGATGACCTTTAATCTGGGAATCATAAAAAGCTCAGCAACTCAAAGACAAAATACTAAACATGCACTTCCATTCATTGAAAAAATCTGCACAATTTTGCCTATAATCAAAATTCTTTATTACCTTTGGCCTGGGGTGCTATTGTAATTTCTCTGGTGGTCATAGCCACAAAAATGTCATACAGTTCATTTCTGAAACAAAAACTAATTTCATAAAATGACAGACTCTAGGTTAATTCAACAAGACTAACATTTAAAATCTACCAGATGAAAGCAAGAAAAAACTTCTTTGTTCATGACAATAATATAAGAACTTGCCTCCCTTCAACAGCAGCATCAGTAAAGCCAGCAATGTAAGGTGTGCTGGCTCGCAGGTCTTCCAGCTCATCTTCCTCTAGATCCACATATGGATGAAGTACTCCCCAGTTCTGCCTGTGCCACACCAAGGCTGGAAGAACTCTTTAAAAAGAACATATAGAACAGATAATCACCCTTATACACATTATAAACAAGGAGCAATTATTCTGCATTGTGACCTTTAATTTGAGACAGGTTTTTCAGTTATGTGGGCTGTTCAGAAGTAGCCATAGACAACGTATCACCTGAGTGACCTACATCAAAATTAAGAATCGTGACAAGTATCTACCTCATAAAACTAAGTAAGGTTTCTACATTTGGATGAAGAACTGCTATTCTTTTCTTCAGAAGTAAAGCAGTGTAGATGACAATAGTTTCTACCCCAAACATGTTTATGACATCTGAAAGAGAAAGTATGTGGTTTCAATTTATGCATGCAATACCTTATAAAACTAAGTTAGGTTTCTACATTTTGATAAATAACTGCTATTCATTTCTTCGGAAGTAAACCAGTGTAGATGACAATAGTTTCAACCCAAATGTGTTTATTACATCTGAAAGAGAAAGTATGTGGATAGAACTTTCAATCTATAACATGCAATATGCATGTCGTATTTAGCAATATGGACAAAAAATGAAAATATTATGGTACTTAAGGAAAGTAAAAACATATTAAATAATTAGCTAAATTAAATTTATATCTATCTGACATACTTTATCTACCTTTTAATGATCCCTGTATATAAGCTTGTCTAGCATCAAAGTCTGAAACTGTAAACTTTCCATTTTCTTCTCCATTGCAAGCACCTTTAGTAACAACTGCCAGATAACTCTCTAGCATGGAAGCAGGATTACCAGTATTTTTGTACAGTTGGCACATAATATTACACAGAGCTTGATATTTTTCAGGGTTGAAATCTTTTGAAACCAGCACCAGTGAGAAATGTGTAACCTACAGTGAAAGGGTCATGAACAATTACATGTATCAACTTGAAAAGGGAAATCAGTGGTTATTTTCCTTATAACACAAATATAACTAACATATATAAATATGTCAGTATTTTAATAAAATGTTTTAAGAGAAGTGATATGCATTTAATAAGTACATGATTTCAAAAAAAAAATTCTGATTTTTGAAAAGAAAAAAGATAACATTACCTTGACCAGATCTGCTGCAGATACAGTTTTAATATAATACCAAGTGTGTTTATACTGTCCATATAAGAAGTCAGTGTATGTTTCTCCTTGAAGCCTGCTCTTTCTTATGAATAGGTTCCTTTGGTTCTCTGTCACAGATGGGTATGACCATGTCCACAGAACATCCCCGTTACTGTCCTTTTCTACGAGATATAAATATCTGCTTAAAAATGCTGCACGTTCGTTTTTCATCACTAATGACATGCTGTTGCAGTGTTTATCATTATTACCGATACATTAAGATCATGCACAGATCTATAAGGACAAAGATGAAGAATGAGAAAGCATGCAATGACTGTTATGATATCCTACTTCTAACGTCTTCCTAGACTAAACGAAGAAATAGTACTGACAATAAAAATAAGGGGCGGTGCTTCCTGTATAATACTGAGTCTCAGGTAGCAAGGGAATTTAAGACACTAAATCAACCTATGCAAAAAATATAAACTCATTCACTATCATATGTTTGAAACACATGCACATTAAAGATATGTTTTTTGTATTTTTGTATGCCGAAAACGTTAGTGAGCTTAACACCGTTGTTGAGTTGCCAACCGGTGTGGTATTTACCAATCAATCCAGCACACAGCAAGTCGCAAAGTGCAGCCATGACGGCTTTGACCTTCACCTGTAATCCGCTTGACCTATATTATTGTCTTACACGTCCTAGTTTTCAAAATATATCAATATATGCAAGATTGATGTAAATAAGCCATTGGAAAGTCATCATTGCTGCTAATTTTTAACTTAATTTCTTTGCTTGGGACTGAAACAATTATAATTTTGTGCTTCTTTTAATGATGACGTCACACACCATGTGGACTGTAACCGCCATCTTGCTAGGTGGTACAGAGGCGTGTTGAGGGTCGGTAAGAAGAAAATGAACTAAGAAGTCTCCTGTCATTATTGAGAAGACTTTTCATCAGCGTAAACAATGCCTACATATTTTCAGCGACCAGAAAATGCTCTTAAAAGAGCGAATGGTAAGTGCTGTATTTACTGTTTTGCGACTTGAACTCTCGGAAAAAATGACATCTGGTCAATCAGCAATGGCATTGGCATTTATTTGATATTTGCATTGAATTAGTGTAAATATACGGATACCACAGAACAAATGTATGATTTTGAACCTGGTGCACGACTCGGTTGTTTCAAAATTTTAGTTGGGTGTCACTGAAAGACAGTTGCATCGTTGGGCCGTAAAAGTTTTGTAATGAACAGCTGTGCCTTTGAATTTTTAATTAGCTTCGGAATTACAGTTTCTCAGTCTCTTTCAAAATATTTTTATTACTTTATTTCAGAATTTATTGATGTTGGTAAAAAGCAACGGGCTCTTGATGCTCTCTATGATGTTATCAAGAGTAAGAAGCATCGAACATGGCAGAAAATCCATGAGCCTATCATGGAGAAATATCTAGTTCTTTGTGTAGAACTAAAGAAAAGCCATGTCGCTAAAGAAGGACTGTACCAGTACAAGCTTATATGTCAGCAGGTAGAATAAAAGTGCCTTATTAAAAAAATCAAGATATGAAAAATTAGCTCATTTTGAGTATTGCATAAGTTACAAAAGTTGAGTTCAGTAATGCCAGACTTTTTTTATGGTGGGTAAAAAAGAGAGATGTAATCAGAGCATTTTGTTTTTATTTTAGGTCAATATTAAGTCACTTGAGGATGTGGTGCGAAAGTACCTGGCCCTAGCCGAGGACAAGACTGAAGAAGCCAGGGCACAGTCACATCAGGCTGTTGTTGATATTGATGATCTGGATGTCATACAAACCCCAGAGAGGTACGTGCAAAATATCACAGTGAGTAACTACTCCAATTTGTTCTCAAATGAATTGTAGCAGCAACAGTTTCTGAATTAAAATAGAAATTCATTCCCAGTATCCAGAAGAAAGTTGTTTTCACTCTTTATAAGAACTTGATAAAGGATGCTAGCATCAGCCAATGATCTCGCCATTTCCATTAATTTACAAATTGCCCTTTATTTTTGAAAGAAAAATGCATAATCCAATTTTATTTTCTAATTCAGTCTGTTACTGAGTGCTGTGAGTGGAGAAGACTCCCAAGATCGTTCTGATAGGGCTATTCTGACCCCTTGGGTAAAGTTTCTGTGGGAGTCCTACCGTCAATGTCTGGATTTACTTAGAAATAATTCCAGGGTAGAAAAGTTGTACCAGGACATTGCACAGCAAGGTATTGTTTATTTTGCTAATTGTGTAGATCATAAAGATATGGATGATGAAATTTATTAGAAGTAAAGACCCATGTCTGACTTGGAATTGATAGTGTGTTGTCATTGTGTTAAAATAATGTTTCACTGAAAAAAATAGGATGTGATAGGTTGTCAGTATTTGCTTAAGAGATGAATGCATTGATTTTCATCGGATGTTGCATTGTGATTTAAAACATTTTTGTTTGATTTTCAGCTTTCAAGTTTTGCCTGAAGTACCAAAGGAAGACCGAATTTAGAAAATTGTGTGACAACGTAAGAAAATTCAAGCAGTATAACAGTTAAAACTCCAGTTTGTTACCAAAATTAAAGATGTAATGCTAACCACGTCGCATAGAAAAAATAGCTTTTTAGATGTTACTTGTCATACAATAAATAATTTATTAATTGAAACATCAGAGAATAATTTGATAACTGTGCGCCATAAATTTAATTGCTTTGATATATTTTACAGCTTCGCACTCACTTGGGTCACATCCACAAGCACCAACACCAGCAGACTGCCATCAACCTGAACAACCCAGAGAGCCAGGCCATGCACCTGGAGACACGCCTAGTACAGCTGGATAGTGCTATCCAGATGGAACTCTGGCAGGTCAGCAGTTTAACAATAACTGTATTTGCTAATGTTTGAGGTAGATAAGTTTGAATTGCGATAAATCTGAATTACTTGTAGTAGATTTTGGAGCAATGCTATGAATCATCTCATGATAAAAATAAAAAGGTTTCTCCCTTTACCTTCACAACCCCCTTTGCATATTTCAATTACATTTCAGATTTTTATTTGTGATTGTTTTCTTTTCTTTGTCATTTACCTGTCTGTCCATTTGCTGCTTTGTTAATATTTATTTTGAAATTTGTAGGAAGCCTTCAAAGCTGTGGAGGACATTCATGGTTTGATCAGTTTGTCCAAGAAGCCACCCAAGCCATCTCTTATGGCCAATTACTACCAGAAGTTGGGTTTAGTATTCTGGAAGGCTGGCAATCGTCTCTTCCATGCCTGTGCTCTACATCGACTGTTCCATCTATCCAGGGAACAAAGGAAGAACTTGTCCCCTGAGGAGCAGCAGAAGTAAGAATGGTTGTAAAGATAAAATCAGAAGAAACTTAAGATGCTTTACTTGTAGTCCTATCATGTAATTTATAAAATTAATTAATTCTTAGTCACATTTACATTTTCTTTAATCTTTTTAGCATTTGTTTTTTTTTTTTGTAATGATAGTTTTATGATAGTTTCATCTATTTCTTCCATTTTTTCTCTTGTTTAAAGAATGGCATCTCGTGTGCTTTGTGCCACACTAGCTGTGCCAATTCTTCCCTCACGCAACCCAATTGATCAGCTGCTGGAAGTAGACTCCACTACACTGGAGAAGCAAAGACGTCTGGCAACACTGCTTGGTCTGCAGACACCACCTAACAGAACAGCTCTAATTAAAGATTTGGTAAGTTTCTGTAGAATGAAGTAGTGTTGCATAGAATTGTTCAAAACAGTCTCCTTATTACCATATTTACCCATATGCCATATATTAAATGGTTTGTTTGTAATTCATATAGAAAACTATATTAAAATGATTATTTGAATATGCAGGAATGCCCTCCAAGGCGTTGCCAAGAGAGCTTACTGCAGCTCTTCTGGTGTCATAGAGGGCAGAAACCAAAGTGATGGCGTCTACATAAAACATTTTATATTGCAAGTGTTTTATATGTTCTACCATCAGACATTTACCCATGCCTATAATGTACCCACTTACTATATTTTGGAAGATAAACAGAAAAAACAATTCATTTATGACTCTTTTGATGTATTTGAATATTTGTGGAATGTTAATTTGTCCCTTTTTTTCCACAGGTGAAGTACAGCATGCTCCAACACGTGCACCCTGAGGTTCAGAATCTGTATCGTTGGCTAGAGGTTGACTTTCATCCCTTGAAGTTATCCCAGAGAGTGGCCAGCTCTATGGAGTACATCGAGAACAATGAGGACTTGTGTCAGTATGAGTCTGCTCTGCATGAAATCACCATCACAAGACTTCTGAAGCAGGTATAATATTGAAAGCAGCATGATGCATTTCAGTTCAATTTTATTTTAGCTAAATTGATTGTAAGTCTGTAAAAATCTAATCAAATGGTTTAATATTGCTGTAAGATGTTTTCCACAGTTGTGTTGAATTACATCATTTAAAATGTTAAGAATAATTGGCATTCTTTTATTTTGCAAAGCTGATTTGACTTTTTTTTTTCCAGATTTCACAAGTGTACCAAACTATTGAGTTTGCCCGCCTGGCTAAACTGGCTCCTTTTGCTAACAAGTTTCAGCTAGAGCGTGTCATTGTGGACTCTGCTAGAAGACTAGAGTTGCAGGTATTTGATTAATGGTTTTAAACAGGATTTAAAAATTTGAAAAGAGGCAAAACATCTCCAAGAGTCTTTCAATTTTATAATTATGTCATCATAATTTTTATGTATTTATTAATTTATTTGCATATTTCTTAGCATCTAGATTGCTTTAACCTCACTTTGTTTCATTTTTGTAAAGATACGGATTGACCATCGCACCAAGTCTTTAAGCTTTGGAATGGACTTGGGAGTGGCACAGAAAGAAGATGTGCCGGAGGGTCCATATCTGCAGAGCATGCCCAGTGAGCAGATTCGCAACCAGATGACCAACATGGCTCAGGCCTTGCATAAGGCTGTCAACATGATCAAGCCAGAAGGCAAAAAGGTACTGTTTGAAGTTGTAAGATGTTATACTTGAGAGAATTTTGTCTCTTTTGACATGATATTTTCATATTGCACTGGGGTCAGATTAAATTTTCAATGTAGATATAGGAAAATTTGATATCCTTTATTCAACCCAGACTTATTTTGATTACAGAAGAAGGAAGAAGAAATCAAGGAGCATATAGTGACAGCCTATCGCCAGACATCAGCCCGTGAGCATCAGCGTATCTTGTCTCGAAGACAGATCATTGAGGACAGGAAAGAACTGCTGGAGAGTCTCAGTGTCCAGAGGGTAAGGCAGTTCTCTTTCACAGATTTTTGTAGGAGCAGTGCTAATTATGCTTTGATAAAGATCAAGATCACTAGAATATTACTTGTAGTTTTATAGTAAGATTGAACGAGTGTTGAAAAAATTTTTTAGTGTCATTGACTTTAGAGAACTGGGTTCCAAGTTGTTGCAATGAGGGTATTTTTTGGTTTCTATCTAATGTAAAAATAAAAGAAAATTTTGCGTAACATACTTTTTTTTTTTGCTTTTTCCAGGAAAGGGAAGAGTTGCAAAAGGAAGAAGAGATCCGCAGTAAGGCCCATGCTGCTGAGATGGCACGACTGGAGAGAGAGGCAGAGGAGCGTGAACGCCAGCGCCGCGTGGAAGAGCAAAAAGAGATACAGAAGAAGCATGCTAAGGAGAGGCTGAAACAACTGAAAGAGACTGAATTGGGAGCAAAGGCTTTCAAAGATCTGCATGAAGAGGTGGGTTTTAAGTGCTCATATATTGCATTCCAAATGATTTCGGAACCAGCCAAAATGGATATCTTTGTTCTAAAGCTATCAGATTGATTTTAAATAGATGACTTAATAAGAGATTGGTGTAGCTATGTGAAAATTATAAGTTAAGTTGTTTTTCTCAAGTGTGTTTTGGTGCAAACACATATAGTTTGATAAAAAACATTATCAACTTGTTGATCTGGCTTTGATAAATATTTAATATGTGCATAATGACGCTCATATCTGTTGATATAGGATATTGTTGAGCTGGATGCAGATGAGATCCTGGCCAGACAGGTGGAGCAGTTGGAGAAGGAGAAGAAGGAACTGCAAGAAAGGCTAAATGCTCAGTCTAAGAAGGTGGATGAAAATTTGTCTGCAGAATTAATGCTCATAGTGACACATTAAACACTGATTATCTGACAAGTTTCTTCAAAATTGAAATATTATGGTAAATTTGTAATGTTTAATTTAGTGCTTTACTAGGGAAGATAACATTGCCAACAATATTGCATTTGGTGTTGTAGGTTGATCATCTTGCTAGAGCCAAATGTCTGGAAGAGATTCCACTATTGAAGCAGCAATATGAAGAGGAGAAAGTTAAGCTCAGAGAGTTTTGGGAGCAGGAGGAACAAGAAAGAGTATGTAGAAGCAAGTTATTTGCTTTTGGTTATTTATTTAATGATTATTTTAGTCATATTTTGTGTTTTGGCTTTCTTTAATGTTTTTATTGTGTGTTTGATACCACATAATGTGTACTTTAGATTGAAAAGATCATGGCTGAACGTGAAATGGCTCTGGAGCACAGTGATCGTCTGAAGAGAATGATGGAAGACAAGGATGCTTTCCTGAAGAAAATTGCCCAGGCTAGAATGTCTGTCTACAAGGTGAAATATTAATAATTTGAGTTTTTAGTGTGGGTTATTTTAAAAGACAAATGTGATTTAACTGAGTCTTCATGTAGAATTAATTGTCTAATAATGGTTGCTCGTAGGAAGAATCTCAATACCTTATCAGAACTGTTAATAATCTTAAAAGGCCTATCACCCTTGCAGGAAAAACTTGCTGAGTTTAATAAGAAATTGGCAGAAGAGCGCAAGAAACGCCTGCAGAAGAGAAAGGAAATGCGCATCAAGGAACGTCGCCAGAAACGTCAAGAAGAAAAAGAAGAGGCTGAGCAAAGAGCTAGAGAAGAGGCAATGAAGAGAGGTAAGTGTACCGTGCTCAGAGTTTACTTTTGAATTTATGCTTTTAATGGATTTTTACAAAAGGAATAAGTAACCACACTTCTCTGCATTTGTTTGGAGATATTTGTCTGTTTGTTTGAAGTAAAATTGTTTTTGCAGAGCGAGAAGAAAAGGAGAGAATTGAAAGGGAGCAGAGAGAGGAGGAGGAGAGGCAGTATGAGGAGAAGATGAGAAAGCTGGAAGAGATAGCAGAAAAGCAAAGGCAGAAGGAAAGAGAGATAGAGGAAAGAGAAGCTAAGAGGAGAGAAGAAATGTAAGTAAAAATATCATGTTTGGGTGATAATGTCATTACAATATAAAATGTAGGATAATCCAAAATTCTACCTTATCATACAGCATGATGAATCCTGCAAAAGTGCGCATGCGCACTGGAAGCATCATCATGTGTTTGCAATCTTGAGAAGCGTCTAGTCGACCCTTTTGTAGCTCGATTATTCACATAAATTTTTCCCAGTTCTATCGACAAAACAACAAAAAAAGTTTTGACTTTATTGCCAATAGATTTATTGTCCTTTTGAAGAACGAATTGGGAGATTTTCTTCCCTTTAGCACTGGGCGTGAGGCCTTTTTTGGTGCTGAGCTGGACTGGAGTGTTGAAAAACATTGAAACCCTGGATTTGACCCTTTCTGGTTTCTCCCATGTTGATAGTTAATCATATTGATCTTGTGCTGGTGATAAGCAGTTTTGCACTTGATATTTGCAGAAGGGGGCAAGATGATCGTGGAGGTGACCAGAGAGAGGAACGTGGAGGTGCATGGAGAGCACCTGTCAGAGGAGGTGGCTGGAGAGAGAGAGAAAAAGAAAGAGAATTGAGCTGGAAAAAAAGGTGAAATATATATTGCTTTCAACTTTAAATGTGATTTTCTTTATGAAAGAGTATTTATTGTATAGTTGAATTCAGATATTGAAAAATATAAATGCATTAATCTTTGCTTTTATATATTTTGTCTGAAATGGTGTTTGGCAAAAAAGAGGGATAAAAAAAGCCATGTTTACTTATTGGGGTACCAAATTTGTTTCAGGGATGATGGTGATGGTGGGCGTGAACATGACTGGCGTAGAGGTGAAGGTCCTAGGATTGAGCGCGATTTCAGGAGAGATGAGCCAAGGGATTTGCGCAAAGATGAACGTGGACCTGATAGAGATTTCCGACGTGATGACAGAGGCCCTCCAGATAGAGATATGCGCAGAGACGACCGAGGCCCTGACAGAGATTTCTGCAGAGATGCTTCACCAAGGGGTGGTTTTGGCCGTGGTGGAGATGATGGAAGACCACCAGCACGAGATGACAGAGATTGGGGTCGCCGTGGTGATGACAGAGATTGGGGAAGAAGAGAGCCTCCTCGTGATGATTGGAGGAGAGGCCCACCTGCCAGAGATGAGAGAGACAGCAGGATGCCTTATAGAGATATCAGGGAAGAACATCGAGACAGCAGAATGCCTGCTAGAGACATCAGAGAGGAGAGAGATGGGAGAATGCCAGCCAGAGACATAAGAGAAGACCGTGACAGCAGAATGCCAGCTAGAGATATCAGAGAGGATAGAGATTTTGGCAGGCGTGATGGCCCACCAAGAGATGACTGGCGCAGAGGTCCACCAAGAGATGATCGCGATGGTGGAGGATGGCGTCGTGGCGGAGATGAAAGAGGACCACCATCCAGAGATGACTGGGGTGGCCGTGGAGGAGGCAGAGATATGAGAGGTGCTGGCAGAAATGAAGAGAGGGAATGGAGAAGAGGTGGGATTGCCAGGGATGAGAGCTTTTATAAAAGAAAATATGTCCTTCAAAATTATTAAGATAATGACTTTTAATATGTAATTTTTTAATAGACAATTAAAGTTTTATTTGTCAATAGCTGTATAAAATGAACTGAGATTTACAAGCCAATATTTCCAGTGGATTTTTTTTCCTATAAAACTTAACAAGAATATACCAAATATGGGATTTGGTTGTGAATTGAATGTAAATTGATTGTAAGCTAAATGACAATTGCTGACTTAATTGAAAAAAGAAATAGGATCCCAGTGCAGTAGGATAAACTTAACCTTTGATGGTGAAAATAGACTGAATTTCTAGACTATATTTTACTTAAGTAACCCATTATTGTGTATTTCAGGTGATACAAAAGATGCCCCAAGCAGGGATAAGAGAGGTAAAAAAAATTCTTCCTAGGGCGCCAGTTTGAAATTATTAATCTTATATTTTGTGGAGTTTAACCGTAAATTATTCGGGTGTCAGGTTTATGAAAATTTTCTAAACATGTTCTGGATAACACAGTTTCTCATCTAGAAATCATGTAACTTTTGGAATATTTAAGTTTTCATTCCATTTTGCAGGGGATGGCGATGAATGGACGACAGTCAAGTACTGAGCTGCCAAATTTCGAGAATCATTTCATCTTGGAATAATCATAAGTTTAAAAAACTTAAATGTAACTTAGTTATATTAGGAGGGGGAAAAGAAAGAAACAACTGAAGAATAATGCTTAGCAGAAATTGCCAAACAATTTGGATTTTAAGAATTAGAAAAATATTAACATTATAGACTTACAGTGCATGTTAAATATTCTAACAATTTACAGCCTTGCCAACTTTGTTAAAGGAATTGATTTGAAAATTGCTTGTAAAGATATCATGAAGTTCTTTGGACATATACCAACCTGCCATTTTTTGCCAATATGCTGAAACTGTTTGGATCACGTACATTTAAAGAATTTTAATGGAGCAGAAATTATCAGGGTGAAACAGACTTGTGAAAAGTGTCAAAATTGCCCCAGTTAAATGTCTTTGATATAACCTATTTCAAATTGACAGATAAAGGCACATTGGATCTTCAAATTTAAAGATGGTGTGATTAAAGGTTTTTCTTTACAAAAAAAGTTAAAACTCATTATTGGCATGAACAGACGAGAATTGTGAATTGTACCTTGATCTGAAAGTAAACTTTGTCTTTGGTGTAATCTTCGTTTCAAATCGACAAATAAAGGCAAAATGGATCTTCAAATTTAAAGATGGTGCAACTTAAGGTTTTTCTTTATAAAACATTTATTTCAAGTATCATTAGTGCAATGAACAGATGAAAATTGTGAATTGTACCTTACTATGAAAGTAAACTCGTGGAATGATTTGAGAGCTCCCAAATTGCCTCCCAAGTTCAAAATGCGCTGCAGCTGAGTACTACATTTAAGTGCATTTCTTGTGTAATTATTCAGCTAGGCATGATTGTTTTCAAGCGGAGACCCACTCTGCAAATACAATGCCATGTTGGGACTGGACAACATGACACAATTTTGCTACACCTAATGTTAAACTTAATGAAGTTTCTAAAATGATTTTCAGTCGTCTGCCCTGGTCTTCCTTCGTTTTGTTTTGCCTCCCTCCTGCTCAGCTGATTGTCTGCGAGATCCACGCTTCTGTTCTTCTTCCTAAAAACATGTAAAAATTCTTTTGTCATGAGACTGAAAAATGGTGAATGGCTTGTTAAAGTTAATTAAGTTTTTAAGTTCACTTGAAAGACCATCTCACAAATTAATGGAAAGTGTAGATATGACAAGGTCACAGATATTCTAAATGAAGTCTGTGGTAGCACAAAGAAGAAACTGGACAGGAACAAATCCAAGAACCGAATCCAGTTAGGTATATGCTTACTGCCTAACATAGCTGTATTGGAAATAGGTTGAATTCCAAGCATTTACCTTATCACTGGCTGCTGTATCAGATCTTCTATTTCCTCGCAGCATCTTGGTTTCTGATGACTGGACCATCAGCTGTGTGCTGACAAATTGCTGTAGGCAAATTAATATATTTGTCAATTGGATGAATAGTTAAGCATTAATAATAATATGCAAGTAAAATAATTTTTTCAAATGAAGAAATGTTATCAAGTTTCTTCTTCTTATGGGAAACTGAATGTTTTAAAATATTTCTGCAATGGAAAATTACAACTGCTCTCACTCCTTTGGAAGTACTTCATACTTAATTACATAAAGAAGCATGAGCACTTACTAAAATGTTGCTGAAAATGTGTCAAGAAAATCCAATGGTAATTTTTTGTAACACTAATGAAACTTGCCCACAGTTCCAGACCTGAGATATTCTAGGAGTATAACCATCTCAGTAAGTATTATTATCCATTCCTCTTAAGACAAGCCAACATAATTTTCCCCCTTTCTATTATCTTCCTTGGACCTGCTATTGTGGTTCCATAAAGTTAAGGCAAGGTACATTTGGCTCTTTATTTTCATAGCAAAAAATGAAAAAAAGTACAGAGGGGTAAAACCTGTCAAAGTGTAAAATGGTCCTACATGTTAATATTCTCCCCTACCTCAATATGCTGCATGACATCATCATACATTTCCATAGCCATCTGATAAACATCATGGTCAGAGTTGTTATACATGATAGCATTGGTAAACATGAGCATCATGTCTCGCTGGAACTCCGTGGTTGTCCGGATTATTCCACTCTCCACATTTTTCTTCACTGTTGACAGATCTAAAGGCCTGCAGATAAACGTTTCAACATAAATTTACCCAGGGAATAATTTATGATATAAGAGTGTGAAGGTAGAACATACAGCCGTTTTGGAAAAGCTATTCTGAAGTGTTAAATCTCAAATATATTAAAAGAGAAAATAAATATTAGTCTTAACTCTCAATAGTTCATGGCATTATGGGGACTATTCGAGATCATGACCACTTACCTAAACACAATACTGGTGTACCCAGGAGCAATGTCATCTGTTACCGGATGAGCAAACACGTTGGCATATCTGCAAGACAACAATGGAATCATAAAGTTATCTTTTAATTGTTAAGCTAAGAAAGATAAAGATTGTACACTGAGGCAACAAGGCATATTTCTACAGGAATAATTTTCTCTTTGCTTTTAGTTTTTCAACACAAATTGATAACAAAATTTGAAAAGATAAATTAAGTTGTCAATAAAGAAGTGTTTCATGTTTATTGATATTTTGAATTCTTTTTTTTTTTTCTAAAGAAGTTGAAATGATATTTTAAAATATTTGAAATTTTTTCAATACTGGCATAAGAAATGATCCATTAGAAAAAAATTATATTTGCTTTCAGTTTTTCTCACTCACTTATGTTGAGCTGCATGCCGCCACACCAGCATTATAGCTTTTTTCCAGGCTTTATATGTGCGTTCATCTTCTGTATCACTACTGCAAAGGCAAAGTAGAATTCTTAATAGTATTACTGCATACACAGTTAATCCAACCAAGAAAACTACCAATGATAATACATTAATAAATACAAAGTCATACTGACAACAACATATGATACTTAAAGGTTTTTTGGGCGCATCTTGCAGCATTAAGTTATAACCAAACAGGGATTAACCTACCATTGAGACAATGGACTGTTGGGGAAGGATTCAGACACTGACATAGCTTGCCTACTGGGTGCCACAGAGGCATCATCACTGCCTTGTATGGTCTCCCCATCTGAAGACTCTGCTTCACTTAACCTGATACTGGCTTCTTCTTTACTGTCATCTTGCTGCAGGAATAGAAAGCATGTGCTTTGTTACATTGCATGCATGTGTTTTATGGCAAACTATGATGTACCATGGGTAAGGAAATTAAGGTTTCCATCTGTTAGTGTTTTAAAGTGACTAAAATTATCTAATATTAAAATATAATATTAAAGACATATATATTCTAAAAGACTTACAGCTGATCTTCTGGTAACGCGTGTACTTCTTCTGCTACCTGGTCTTGATGACCCCCGACCTATCATACCAAAAAGACATCAAAAAATGTTTAAAACATCAAAGTCACATCTTATCATTGAAGCTTGCTCTTACATAAATGTCAATGAAGGATGCACTTTTAAGTGTAGTAATTCAACCCTGTTTCTTGGCTGTATTAAATTGTAGATGGAAATGCATCTCATGGTTGTTGGCCGAAGACTCTGCCTTTGAGCTACAGTATTGCATTATGGAATCAAACCACCACCTGATCATTGTGACATTTTTTATCTCATGGTCCTGTCATGTGGTGCAGGAACCAGACCAGTCTATAACAGTGAATGTTTTTTCTTTAATATACAAATCCTCTTTTAATGCATTCTTCAACAGAAAACAAACCAGGCCATGATTTAACTTCAACCCTATGCCCAACATGACAACTGTTACCTCTGGTCTTCTTAGCCGACCTTCCTCCCTCACTGACCCTGGAAGACACACTACTGGCAGGAGAAGGTGGCTCCACATATTGTTCATCTAGTGCTGGGGCTGGGAGGGGCTCTGGCAGGTCCACAGGCGTCTCCTGAAGGTGTAAGTAAGCAAAGAGTATTAATCATGTTCTTAGAATGGGAAATTTTGTACACCATGTCATAACAGGCTGCAGCATGATGAAAACAGAAAATTAGTGTCAAACACCTTTATGGAAAACATACCTGCTTTTCAACTGATTCTTCCTTTTCCTTTTTAACAACAGCCAATGGCACTTCATCTTCTGCAAATGAGACGTAAATATATGTTTCATTCAGAAGCATTAATTAGGCAAATTACTCCAAACAAGTTTCAGCTTAAAAGTTTTCCATACTTAACAGCCCACAAAAATGTGCTTCATGAGTATGATATAACATCAAAACTAACAAACATATTTTTAAAAATCTACTATGGCTGCAGCAATCTAATTTGTGAAACAATCTTGCTCCCATTTTTAAGACCATTGATACAATACGTAAGACATCAAACCAATACCTTTTACAACATCAGCCTTGCATTCAGAGGACTCAGTTGAATCTTCTCTCTTAACTTGCACTTGAGACTCTTCTGTTTGTTTCTGCTGCTGCTGTTGTAACTGTTGCTGTTGTTGTTGCTGCTGCTGAGCAGTCTTTTGAAAGGGAGTGCCCAGCAACTTTGACAGAGTGGGTGCTCCAGCTGATGGTGAACTTGGAATATCGGTGCTGCTATTGGACCGTGTGGCAGTGGCACTAGCTGCAGCAATGTTCACTTGGGGTCTGCCTTCAACTGGAGGTGGAGCAGCCAGCTGCTGTTGTTGCTGCTGCAGTTGTTGCTGTGCTTGCTGTTTGATTGCCTCTTGTGCTTGTTTGTTTTGTTGTTCTGTTTGCTACAATTTCAACACAAAGTTTTAATCAATTGGCCTTCTTTTGTTTCTAGCTACAGTTCCAAAAGAACAAAATAACTAAACCTTCACTTTTTTCTCAGTATAATAATACAAGCGCACAGAAATGCTTACATATATTGAAATGTAAAGATGACAACATACCTCCTTGAACTGCTGTAGTTCAGCAGGTCCTTTAGTAAGAAGTGTGGACAGGATCTGAGATGTTGCTGCAGGTGTGGGAGTGGATGAACTAATTATGCCTTCAGTTGGAGTACTTGCACTATCTTCAATCTGAAGCAAACATGATTAAATTTTTCTAAATATGTGCAACATTTTCCAGTTTCAGACATTCACATAATACAACATGTGCATTATTATATCAATTTATAAATCAAAATATGAAAGCCAACAACTCCTCCGTCTGTGACTTAACTATTGTCATTAAATTGTAAGAAACTCAGCATGGCACGAATATACATGCAGCTCAGCATTTTGGTTTCAATTATTCTTATTATATTGTGGTACTTTTAGTAACTGTTTATATATTGGGCTAGTTCCATACGCTGAATACTGACCCCTATCTCTATCTCTGAGGACACAGAGTCCTGAGTGCTGTCATCCACCTCCAAACTGATACTGCTGGTTGAGGCTCGGCCACCTTTGGGAATTTTTCTCATCATTTTAGCGAGGGCTGTAAAATGTCAAGTAAGTTTTTATAGGCACAGAAGTAACAATTTATAAAAAGTAAATGCATAAGATACTATGTATGGATTACTAAGCCAGATGACAGTACCACTTATAAGGCCTTAAAAATATTGTTTTAAATTATCTGAATAAAAAATTCTATTTTCACAAGTAATAACCAGTGCTAACCCAAGGCCTCAGCCCTTGAAGCTGCCTCTTCTTCAGCTTTCTGCACTGCAACCCTCTCTGCTTCTGCCTTTGCCTCTTTCTCTCTACAAGTAATAACAATATAATCAATCCATATCACCTGTTTTCGTTTATAGATTCATAAAACTATGCAACTTACTACAAAATTTCAGGGAGTCCAAGTATGCCTAAAGCCCTCATTTTTCCAAAAAATCCATGAGCCGCCCATCTTTCTTTGAAAATATAGGCTGCCTGGTGATGCTTTCAGCTGTCCAAATGATGACTGGACAGTTCCCTGGGAAAACCCTTGTATTAAGTTCTTACTTTATCCATTAAACCCTCCAATTCAGTTACAGAAGACTACAAAGAACATGGTTACTTTGGGGCTGGAAAATTTGCTCAAGTTACCCAAAGATTATTATTTTGCAATTTTCTTACTTTCAGCTAGTGTCAAAGAAAATCGAGATAACTAAAATTAATTCAGGTCCTGAGGAGAAAAGTTATGGAGAGCCAGTCTCCCATATGCTGTTCTTTATCATATCAAAAAACTGCTGATAACTTTTTGAGCACTGGATACAAAATACATGTGCCACTTACTTCTGTATTCTTTCCCAGATCTCACGGAGTTTGTCATCACACTGGCCACTTTGCACTAGTTCATACTCTTGCTTCATAGCCCTTAAAATTTAAAAAGAAATATAAATATAATTAACTTGGTCATTTAACTTGCCCATTATGCTGTTAACAATGCAAAGACACCATAAAGAATGGGCCCAGCCAGGGCGTAATAAACATGGGGTCTGGGCTTTTTATGCATAGGACTAGATTTGATGCGGGCCTTTGACACATATATATATATATATATATATATATATATATATATATATATGACATTATTATTATTAACCAGTAATAGGTTCCCATTTTCTAAATCTATTCTCGCAATCACAAATAAACACTTACAAAAATATATTTTGAAAATGAAACTGCAGAAGAATTATATGGAAATATTTTTGCTTTTTTTTCACTCTACCTGTATTTCTTTTGGTCCTCTTCAATTAATCTTTTTAACTCCTCTATTCTTTCTATTGTCAATTTCCTTACAATCTGAACTGTAGGAGTTTCAATCTCTCCCCTTTCTCCCCTTTTCCTTCTACAAAAGTATCATAAATCAAATGTTAGCATTACACATACATTTCTTGTCCAACTTGTTTTCACAAAATGTCTATAAATATAGTACTCTAAACAGCTATTTAACTATTTGTGCAACTAACCTAGCACACATCTGAATTAAGTAAATAATTTGCTTTTACTTACTTTGGTGTTTCAGCATTTTCCAAGAGATCTGCATACTGGAGTGCACAATTCTGAAATAAAAAATATTGATTATACCCAAAACAAAAATCAGCCACCAGGTTATTTTTTAAAAGATGTAAAGCATATTGATCAAATAATAATAAATTAAGAAAACAATAATTTTGCTTCTTTTTGAAAAAAAAGGAAAAGGGAGGTACCTTTAAAAATCTATACATTATTAATATTCAATCCCTTAAAGATACAATTCTTAGAGTTTTTGTTACAGTAAATTTCTCTCTTTTTATTCTCAAATATACTGTTCATGTCTCAAAGGGATATCTTTCAAGAGTGAGGAAATTACTGCCCCTGCTCAAGGCGTGCATTTCCATGAGTATTTAAATTGCAAGAAATGTACTCAAATTTCCACTTGGTGCAGGAAAACAAGATTTTGAAAATATATGGACTAACAGTCAGGGAGTAGTGGAAAATAGTCCATGATGCCTACTACTACTAGTACTAGTGAAACTGTTTCTTTTGGAAAAATAGCATCATGGACTATTTTCCACTATTCCCTCACTCTTAGTCTTTATATTCCTACCCCCCAAATAACAAAAGATATTTTGCAAACTTTTTCTTTAAGTATGCCACAAACCATGGGTTTTCCCAGCGAACCATCCAGCCATCATTTGGACGGCCCCCAGCATCACTGGACAGCCTATATTTTCAAAGACAGCTGGACAGCTTATGGATTTTTAGAAAATATGATGACCTTAAGCATACTTGGACTATGTGAAATTTTGTGGGAAATTACAGGTGGTAATTTTGGAAGGCCTGTGCACCCAATCCTGGGAAAAGCCCTGTCACCAACCTTTGTTGAAAACCAGTCTGGAGGTCTGAGCTTCTCAGCGAAAGGTTTGCTAGATCTGCTTACAGATACCCAATTCTGATCCCCACTCCTTGATACGGAGCTAGCTAATGCCAACCTCTCTTTGACGGACCATACATCTAGTGCACCATGTTTTACTTTAAATTCTGGAGAAAAAAAAACATTACTTTTGTATTATTTTAGTCTAACGTGCTTTAATATATCGATATTACAGCCATATACAATGTCTAGATTTATCTACTGATCAAGCTGATACCTGAACACTGTTTCAGGCAAGGCACAGATCAGATGTAGACTACTGCCTACTAGTAGTACTACTAGTACTAGTGAAACTGCCAGTACTGGAGTGGAGTAAATACTACGTTGATGCAGAAAATCGTCTCACAAAAGGAAGTCGTGCTGTTGATTAAATGAAGTCTTTTACAAACATGAGCACAAATAATCACATTAATATCTAAATAACTGGCACATTCTAAAAAATTGTCTCTTGTTGCGTGATTATTCAATTATTCTTACTTGGGGTTGCCGCCATCTTTAATTTACCACGTACCTATATGGGTCAAAAATCCCAAATGGAAGCTATTTTCGATAAATGTGGAGTGTTATTTTCATATTTTTTGTTTTTCTAAGCTATAAAACCAAATTATTCCTAATAAGTGGTCATTTAGTAAGTGTATTCATACTCATAGAATAGATATTATTTCAACTTTTGATATGTAAAAAACAAGGTAAATGAACGAACCCGCAACCGATACAGCAGTGTTATCAGTAAAACTTGAGAGGTTGTGTCAGTTTGTTGAGGGTGTATCAAAAATCAATAGTTTTGTCAGTCCATTGGGTATCTCACGCCCTAGGCATGTGTTGAATAGCACAAGAAGTACTTTCCACGACTCACAAACTACCAAGAACCATGAGAGAGACGAAGAAGACGTGTTGTTTGGTGTTAATTTTCTGTGGTGCACTTTGTGGAATTGTCCTGACGTCTGTCAGTTTGGCGACAGAACACTGGGTGGAATCTAAACCAACTAGAGCAGTCAATAAAACCGAGGAACTGTTAACTGAAGATTCCCAGGGTTCGGTTAATCTAGGCCTGTTTAGAGGCCAGAAGCAAGTGAAAGTTCTGAACTATAACCCAAAACCTGTGTGGGGTAAGTTTGATTTGTGCAGTCTCGGTTATAATGCAATGTGCCAAAGTAAAAAATATCCCAGTATTTATTTGATCGTTTAACTAATATGTGATCAGTGTTTAGAACACGTACTTATTTTTTAATAAAATAGCAAATTTGGAAATTTTAGAATAAAGGGAGAAATACTAGGTTTTGACTTCAAAAGGTTTTCACACAAAGAACATCAACAGTTGTCCCAAAATAGTGCAACACAGTCCAACACAGCACAATACACTGAAAAAAAAAACAAATGCAGTCATCAGCAAACATGGAAAACGTTCATTCCGACAAAATAGGATGATACAAAAGCAAAATATATTACAACATAATCAATATTGTTGATAAAACTGAACAAATTTGCCCGTTTTGTTCAGTGTCGGTCAGCTGCCATGTTGGCCAGTGTCTCTTCTTAGATGGCAATATTGCCAAGTTAAATGAAGAGTGCTTTGTGGGTTATGTAAGTAGATAGAAACATGAAATGTCAAAAGGAAAAAAGCAAATAGGATTTGTTAGTTTGCATGAATGACAAAGAGTGTTCCTTTTCAGTAATATGCTATTTTATGTAGGCATAAGAAACATGTCAGAGAGATAAAATGTGTCATCAGATGTAACAGGAATAGTTTCTGTGATGTATCAAAATGGTTATTAAAGATAGAGTAAGCATTACATCACAATCATTGTAATTTTTAGTGGCATTTTGCTGTGTCACCACTAAAGATGTGTTTTAATACTTTTTAGAACAAGAAAATGCCACTTATTAAAGTACATGTACATCAGTCTCTGGCTGCATGATACTGCATGATAAGTAGTCTTAAAAGAAGTACTAGTAATGCTTTCATAATGAGTGTCACTTAAAGTGTACATATTCACAGTTGTTGTCTCGTCTATGATTTACAAACCTCTTATGTTATTGTAATAGTTTAAGACAACATATTTATCATTAACTGAGCAATATTCAGATATTTGACATGCTGTTCGTATTGATCTTTAACTGCTTGTCGTGGAGTGATATGCCACCTAAGATCAAGTTGCTGGCACCTGCATTATTATTATTATTATTATGTCCCAGTTAGATGAATGAGAGACAGAAAGAAAGAGAAACATGTTTGTTGAAGCTCACTTGAGGAAAAGATTATATCTTTATATCTTGTAAGGTGTTTTGCTATTTCATCAAGGCAACACAAAATATCAACTATCATGAAAGCTGCTTTATAAGTATTAGGTGAAGTCAATTTCCCAGTCCAGGTGGTAATTAAAACCATCCCTTAGCAGCCAAGGCCATTCCATTGGGATTTGACACTATATACTCTCATTGAATGTAAATTGGTCTAAGGCAAGCTCGCATCAATCATGGGAGCCCACCCAGTCAATATGTGGCACCTGCCTGTGACCTTAATAGCCACATAATGGCTAGAGGAAAAGATACCTTTATGGAGACTTCTGTCAAGCTACCCAAAATTTTGCAGCCATACTGTGTAGTCTACCCAATCGATGACAGATTTGCACATATGTTATGTTTTATGAAATATTTTTTGCCATAAGTGTGCATGTGTCAGCTCAGTTTTGTTAGTCTAAAAAGTGTGCTACATGACATCTTGTGATCTTGATGATCTACAGATACCCAAGTTGGTATGAATGTGTGTTTTTGTCTTGGTTGTGTGTGTCACGAGTGAGATAAGATACAAATGAGCAACAGACAGGTGAGTTTCATACCAAGCCATTTGCTCATCATCAACAACTTTGTTTCAGCACATTGTATTTTCATTTCTGTGAGCACTATACTAAACTGCACATTTGTAGATTTGTTCTAGACGTGCTATTTATTTTTGTTCTTTATTTTTATACACTGTTTTATTCTATGTGCTACTTTTTGTTCTTTTAGCTTTAAATGTAAGTTTTCTCAAGTTCTATAAATCTCAGATATATGGGTCATTCCACAGTATTATAATAATTACAGAGGCCCTTCAGGGGGAAGTTTGACTCCTTGTTTATGTTCATTATTACATCAATATTCATTATTACATCTTCTTTTAATCACACATTTGACATTTGCCTACAAAACAGGACTATTAAAGATTCAGTTAGCTATGTCATCATGAAGATGAAAACATTCAGTGTCATGGAATATATCAGAAGAGATGAAGCTTTGAAGTTATCGACAATTTTGCATGTTCTATTTACTGTAAAATGACATCTTGATGTGGCTTTTTGAATTCATTGGAAACCAGAGTTTATTGTTTGCTACTAACAATTTCTTAGAGCTTATGGTCTAAGATGACTTCACAAATGGGAAACTTTTTTATGACCATAATTTTAGGTATGACTTGACCCAACTATTTGAAAAATTCAGCAGAATGTGTTAATGGCTACTACAACAGCAGGATTTTATTAAATAGCAGTCATTGTGTTTTCTAGCATATTTTGGTCATTATGCTTGTGGGTATAGAACATATTGAAAAAACATGAGGGTTTTCTGTTAAGAATAGAAAACATGAAAATTTAAATATTAAACCAGAAAAATATTATATGTAGAATTATAAAACTTAACAAGGTAAATGGTAAATATATTTCCTCCAATATTTTTCATTCTTTTTCTTGTACGTTAAAAATACTGTGGAATGGCCTTTATCATTTTTGCTTAAAGTAAATCTTCTTCAATTTTGTGTTCAAAAGCACCTGTTTTAAGAAATCACTGATATTTCACTGCCTTTCTAACATTGTATACTTTGAGTAAAATGTTTTTGATAATCATAGCAGGGAAAAATTATGGTGACATATATATACAGATACTTTTATCCAATTTTGTTGCTGTTGGTGTTATTTAGAATGAAAAAAATTAATTCTCTTCCAATGAAAACACCATGATAAAAAATTATACATAAACCATCTATTTTTCTCTGCTTTGATATGTTTCCTCTTTGTTGTGTTTCATCTGATACTTATGTACTGTTTATTCTCTATTATTTTCTTTCTGTGTTTCACCCTCTTGTAGTTGTTTGCATACCTGACCAAGGAGTGTGTGGATTGAGCGGCTATGAGAACCCAGACATGCGCACGAAGGAAGTGGAAGATTATATTAAAAATTTAACCAAATCCACAGACCAAGGTTCTTTTTGTCAGTTTATCAAAATTTAATGTTAGCTTCAGTAATTATACACCATTTTTTTGAATGGGCATTAAAAAATGTTTTTTTTTTTTTTTTTTTTTTTTGGAGGGGGGGTTGGAGTCACAAATTTGAGCATGTTTTATACTGATTTAGCTTTACGAGCTTTGTGCACTGGCATGGTCATTGACTTGATTAAATATCAAATATGTTCTTTTATCTAATTTTTTTCATTTGATTAAATATTATCATTGTATGAAAAACATTTTTATTGCTATCTGTGATGATTTTAGGAAATGGATAGTTTTTATAAGTTGACTTTATCAAAGGTCACTTCTGGTATCTTAGATTCCATAGCCAGGTTTGTTAATCAAAGACTTACCAAATCAGCATGTTTTCAGATATGTTTTAGAGGCATTGATAAATATTTAAACATGAGTACATTTTGTAATTTTGATCTTTTCTTGTTCTCAATTCTGAAACGAGTTTTAAATAACAGGAATTAAAAGTTGAATTGATGAGTGGAACAGGATAATAACTTGACAAATGAGGAAACAGGCATAAGAACAGTGCAGTTGGAAAATAAACCTTTGGAAAAGTTTTTAAAAATTATTACTGTTCTGTTTATTAATATGTCTATAAGTATGTTGATTCTCTTTTGATTTTTATTTTGCATGCAAGCTTGCAAAAAGTTTTTTAAGTAATGCTTTGAATATTTTAGTATATTTTCTCATTTTTCACAATTCTAATTGGGCACATTATGCACATAGCATAGAGAACTAAATTGCACTTTCGATACAGACTTTAAAATTAGCTTAACTTGTTTCCATCTAATGAAAGATAAATGAGTGTTGAATAAACAGTTTGAAAATTAAATGAGATTGTTTCACTGTTAAATTCCAAGTCGGACAATCTGAAAACATTTAACCAGTGGCTGTTTATATAGGGCGGTGTTGCTAAATAACAAAACTGATAAAGTATAGTTGTTATCTAAATGTTGTTCAGAATGCTGAATTGTCTGGAATTTAACTTGTGACACAAATACCGTGACATATGTTTCATAATTCTTTTGTAATTTCAGTGTTCCAAAAAATTCAAGATGACGGGATATTGATGAGCTTCAACTTGTGGATATCCGTCCTGGTGTTTGCTGGGTTGGGTATAGTGTGGGGTCTCATCACCATCATCTTTAGCTGTATCAATCTGGCTACAACCCCTATAGAAACCATCACAGGACCAATGGGCCTTTATTTGTGGAATGCATTTGCTTGTGAGTTACACTTAGTTCAAAGATACTGTCCTGAAAAGATTAAATAAACTTCTTCTGCTGTAAAAAATGCTGCTTCTTAGCAAAAAAAGAAAAATTCAAAGGAAGAAATGCACAAAGATATTGGCCTTAAACATTCATGTTGATTATTTTTGGAGGCGATTTTAAGGCTGATAATTTTTACGGCTATAGTAAGATATTATAAGACATTGATAGTCTGAGTGTATGTTTTCATAAGGGCTTAAGGTGCTTCTGTTTATCAGTAACAGCCAACTGTAGCTACGCCCAGATGCAAATGTTTTTTCCCCAATACTGAGAGGTTTCTTGTTGATAAAAGGAAATAAAGGTTTTTTTATGCTTTGACGAATTGCTCTTTATATACCTTAAGAGTTTATGAACATAATTTCATATAGATGTTTTTGATAAATTACTCTAACAGCTGTAATTTTTTGTTCGCCAGGTACATTTCATTATACAGTGAAGTACAAAATTTAAGGCACAATATTTGGGCTTGTCTTATGCCTCTTTAGATAACTTATATGCTGTCAGTCATTAAGAGAGCATTCACATCGAGAAGAGCCAAGGTCTAGAAAGGCCGAGGGCCCGAGACCTAAATATGGCTAACCTTCATTAAAGGAAGACCGCTAATCCTGTAATGGTCTCTCCGCCTCTCACACGCCTCCCCACGGTTGTCCCTCGACCGGTTGAAGTGAGCCAAGATTTGATTACTGTGCCCCTGCAGGGACAATGCGTGGGGAGGCGTGTGAGAGGCGTAGACACCATTACAGGATTAGCGGTCTTCCTTTCATGTAGGTCTCTAAGATCATGTCTATTTTATATCAGATTTATTGCTAATGGAAAGCTGTAGATGGTGACTTAGTATTTTGGAGTGAAAATATAATTAATGGGTTTAATTTGTTTTAAGCCCTCCAAAACTATCTTAGAAAATAGTGTCTTTTTATGGCATTAACTGTAGATCTGAATTTCTTTAAAAGTGATTATAGAAAAAAGCTAAAAATGTTGTATGAGGGCATCACTTGTGCTGTAAAGCATTGTGTATCACAAAGCATTCGAATATTAATGACAGCAGTTCATCAGTAATTGTCACATGAGATGAACTATAATTGATTTCCAGTTCTACAACGTGAGAAAGATCAACTCATTTCAAGAAATGTAATGTTCATCCAAGGCTTTCTATGAAACTTCATATAACATCCCACTTATGAGTATCATCATTGTCATCTCTCCATTATTAGTATAAATCATGCACTGGGACTCTCATCTTTATCACAGTGTGATTTTAAAAAAAGAGGGGCCAAGCATTGTTTGGTATAGTTTTCCATTTTTAGTTTTTGTGAGTGTGATTATCAGTAATAATAGATTGAGGTTGTTTTTTTTAATCACATCTTCTTTCTTTTTTCCTAGGCCTGTTTACCTTCATTACAGTCATCCTGTTTGTTGTGCTTTTCCTCACAGACCTAAAAAACAATGTATTAGAAGCTAAAGAAATAGGTATTGGCTGGAGCTCAAAAGACAGAACAGAAGTTGGATATTCATTCTGGCTGATTGTAGCAGCAACACTGTGCTATCTCTTAAACATTTTATTTGTCATAATTTCTGGAACACAGTGTAAAGTGTTCAGAAAAAGTAAGTCCCACGTGAACCAGAATGCCAGTGATGGAATGATGATGTACTGAACTAGTTGTTCAATGGGGACATTAAGGAATACAAATATTCACAGATGCCAATTATATTTTGATTAATTAAAGATAAAGACAACTGCCTTACAGACTACATGTACCTTGTAGGTGAGTCAAATCTATTCAGTAGATATGTACAACATGTCAGGTTGAGTGGAGGTTTCATTAAGTAGAACGACACATATCTCACCAAGATAAAGCTGATAAGGTAGAGTAACCTGGACACTCCTCATTTTACATGTGTCAGTTCTATGATACCAGCATAGAGCACGAGACCAAGGTTTACATTCAGAAGACCACTGAACTAACCTCTTTTATATCTTTCATTTCGAGATTTCAGATAAAGTATTAAATTCACAGAGGCCCTTTAAGTAACACTTCTGTTTTTCTTAGAACTCATTTCATATTAAATGTATGTAATGAATTTTTAAAGTTTACGACTGTACCTCATTTGGATATGAATATTGATTTTTATAACAATTTTTATACTGTCACTCTGAATTTGAATAACCTCTTTATTTGATTTACAATACAAAGTGTAACCATTCCTTAACAAAATGATGTTCACAATATTGACCCAAAAATACATATAGAGTCCCACTTTTACTGCACTAGACAGTCCAAATTGAAAGTATTGTTGGATTACTGTGGCTCTTCTCTAGACTTAATATAGAAATGTTTTTATGCACTGTTTGATAGGTATTTTGCATGCTAGTGCACAAAAGATTAGAAGCAATTCATATTTGTGCATTATATATAATATATAATATGCTGCCATTGAGGTATTACTTTACATTCTACAGTAGTCACTAGTCTGTCAGGATTTACCATGACATTATGCAGTATCATCAAACTATTATAGTCCCGAGGACTATCTCAAGAATATCTAGTCAGTTAATGATGGAGAAGGCCATAAAGTTAGATGTTACCAGTTCTGTAAAATTGCTGCCAATATGTTGATAGCCAGGGCCCTGGTTCACAAAGGACCTTACCAAAGTGGATGTAGCTAAGCCTGGTGATCTCAGACTGTCATGATCAGCTATGCAATGTCTAAGCGAAAGCAGTCCTAGACCATGAAGTCAGTTGATTCTTAAGGAGACATCTTAGATTCTAAGACTGTTGGAGTTTTGGTCCTAGGATATTGTTTTAAGACAGAAAAAGTGAAATAAGCAGCCCCTTGTTATGCTTCTGTTTTAAGTTGGCTTAACTTAAATCGTATAAATATTTTTGTGAAACAGGCCCATAATGTCTGGGGTGTGAGGATATTTATTCAGTTTAGATGAAATGTTGCAGGTGCTGATTTACTCTCATTAGACATGGAACCCATTTTTATAAATATTGATGCACTTCATGGTAGATACTCAGAATGAAGCTGATAATTTTATAGAATGTGCTTCGGATCAATCAATGAAAAATGATAGAGAATCAGCAGTTGTAAAGAATTTGATACCATGAACATTGATGATTTGTTTTATAACCATATTATAATACATTGGGACCAATTCTGTTGATGTGATTTCTCTTAGAGAATTTCAAATATTTTTGTATGGTTCGTAATTGTTTACATTCCTTGAAATTTGATTGTTTAGACTCCATATACCAGCATCTCTATATAACATTTTGTTGTCTCAGTACATTTTGTTTTGGCTTAATATTTAAATGTTTGTGGCTGGGATAGGGAGAAATATCAGCTTTATGTCACTCTTTATTGATTTAGAAGTATTTATGTATTTTCCTGTATTTTGTAGTCATATTTCATGTGATGATTATTATATTTATTATTAATAGTATGACATTTATAAGAAGGGATTTTGAAGGCATATCAGAAAAAATGATGTAGATCAAGTAGCATAACAGTGTTTGAATATATTACAAGAAAGTCAATTAGTTTGTAGGTTGCAGCTTTAAAGTATGAAACTGGTAGTTAATGTGCATATTTTATCATGAAGGTCAATATATAATGTATGTGCTGCTGTTGTTTACAACAAGGAGTGACTCCAGCAGTTTTCCACAATGTTAGAGATGTTTGATTGATGAAATCGATACAGTGTTGTTAGCATGATTGATATGTCATGTTTTATGGATTAGAACCAACAGATACAGTGTTGTATGAGTGAACTCTGCATAAAGGAATGAAAAAATGTGTACATTGAAACCCCTCTCACTTTTCAAATGTATATGTGCTATAGGTAAATGTAAAATTTGCTTTGGTGCTGGTGAACACAAATGAAAAACGCACAACAAAAATTTTAGCAAAGTTGTGTTTTATAGGTATGAAAAGGATTAGCTGGATTATGGGTTCCTTGTACCTTGTATGCCAATTTGTAGTTGCAGCTTGGAAAAATAAAGTTTCAATATTTTGGATACATAACACTCTTGCTAATTTTTTATTTGTCTGATATTTTTTTTTTTTTAATTTATTTATTTGGGTGAGTGTGTTGGGGGGGGGGGGGCA